AAAGAAATATATCTATATCGAGAAAAGATATATAAAATACTATCGAATAGATAGAAGTCTTACTTCTTATTCTCGTTAATTAAGAAATCTCTAAAGCTATTATTTTAGATAGAGATTTAAAATTTCTTTTAAATCTTTAAAAAGCTATCTTTAAAATTTTAGAAATAAAGCTTCTTATCTCTATTACTTATTATTTATAAATTAATAATTAATCTAAGCGAACTAATTAGATTATAAAGATTACTTTAAGATTTTATATTTCTTATATTTCTAATGATTCTTAAGATAAATTCTTTATACACCTTAGAGATAGTCTTAATAACTTTATAAATATATCGATAGAAAAGACTTTTAATAAGATTATATATAATATAAAACTTAACGATAAATTCGATATAATAAATATCTTAGTAAAGAATTAGATAGATATTATAAATAATTATACTCGATATTAATAGAAAGCTTTAGATATCTTAGCTTTCGCGGCGATTAACGCGAAATTTAGATATAACTTAAAGTATAAAGCTTTAATTATAAAGAAAGAAAATAAAGCTTTTATTAAGCTTTATAAGAGAATATTATTTTCTTAAACTTAAGAATATAAAACTTTCGAATTAAAGAGCCAAATCTTTTATTATTCTTAAGCGAGTCGAAAACCTAGTCTATAGACTTAATCTCTTAATTATTTAAAAGATTTATTCTATTATCTCTATTATAATACTCGAGCCTACATCTAAAAGAAAAGATTTTTATTATTAATCTTATAAGAAAGAATAAGCTTTTATATTTAATTAGAAGAAGCTAGTAATTAAGAATCGCTATAAGATTTAGAGATTAATTAATTAATATATTAATCGATCTTTAAATCGAGAAAGTAAAGATAAGAAAGATATTATAAAATATCTAGTAAAATAAAAGAATTAAGAAAAGATCTATAATATATAATATAAGATAAAAGATTTAGAGAATATAAAGGATTTAATCTATAACTACGATTTAAAAATATAGAAAACGCTTATAAAGAGAGTATCGAAAGAGGAAATCTTAGAACTCTATATAAGTCTATAGCGTAAAGATTATTTCTTATACTATTAATATATTATTAAGTTAAATATTAAACGAAGTATAATTCTTAGACTTTATTAAGTCGCTAAATTATAAATATAATTTACTTTATTAACTCGTATTTTCTAATATATTATTATATAGAAGCTCGAATTCGAAAATTTCGAGAATCTCGAAAATTTTAGAAATTTCGAAAGACTTTATAACTTATAATCGCGAAGTAAAGTAACTTAACTAGCCTCTTATTTCTTTTCTTTATCTTATTATAATTTCTTTTAATACTTTATAATCGAATATAATTCTACTTCTCGAGAAAAGATATTTTATAATTCTTATAATTTAGATATTATCGCTAAGAAAGTAAAGCTCTAATAATCTTATTCGAGATTTAAAGACGTAGAAATAGCGAATCTTAAGATTTTAAAATTAATTCTCTAGAGTTAAATCGAATATATATTTAAATAATTTAAATTCTTTTAATCGAGTATTATAGATCTCTATAAAATAATTAATTATATTTAACTCGAAGTAAAATAAGATTTACTCTCGAAATAGTAATATTATAAAAGTCTACTATAATATATTCTTAATTATTCTTTCTTAAATTTATCTAGATTACTTTTATAAACTTAAGAATAAACTTAAACGAATAAATACGTTTTACGATTAGAATTCTTATCGTCTTTATTTATAGCGAGGCTATTTTATATATATATTAAGCCTTTATTATTAAAATTTAAATAACTTTCTTAATTTCGTAGCTCGTTATTTAAGAATATCTTTTATCTTAAAACTTAAGTTAATCTTATATTAAATAAAGAATCTATTTAAAAATAAAGACTATTATTAGAATAAGACTATTTTTATTAAGAAAGTAACTAAAGATATTAATACTTTTTTTTATAATATAAATCTTTTAAATACTTAAATCGCTAAGATAGTAGAAACGCGAAGCTTTATTAAATTCTAGCGATATTAATATTAATCTTAAATCTTCGCGAGTAAAGATTTATATTAGAATTATATTATAAAAGATTAAATAGTAAAGATAAATATAAAAGATAATAAGAGAATTAAGTAATATTATAAGATTATATTCGAAATTTAATAGATATAGAGAGATAAAGAGAAAGAATAAGATTACTCTCGAGATATTAATATTTATATTAATATTATAAAGTATAATAATTATAATCTCTATTAAGAATATCTTTATTTTATTTAGAACTTTAAGTATAACTTCGAGAAAGCTAAGAAAGTCGCTATAAAGAAGGGAGATTTCTCGAAAAAGTCTAAGAATACTACGTTAGAGATTAAGAAATAAATAATATTCCTCATTAAACGCTAATACGAAACGATTAAAGAAGAATAAGATTATTTATAAGACGAGATCTATAATAAGAAAATATTACGATTAAAGCTAAATTCTTAAGAAAGATTCGTTAAGAAGTCGAAATCTAAGAATTTAAGTAATAACGTCGTAATTAAGAAGAAACCGACTTATTAGTTATTTATCTTCGAGAATTTAGATTCGAAGTTAAAAGTTAAGGATATAAATATTTATAATAATTACGTATATATAAAGAAGAAGATTAACTTACTAAAGAATACTCTCTCGAGAACGTAAGAAAAGCTAATAGCACTATCGACGATAATAAAAAGAATTTATAAAATAATTACTTTACTCTTAGCTTAGTATAAAAGCGTAATAAAACTTATTAAAGGCGCTATAAAACTTTCATCTTTTCTAAATTAAGATTATAAGTAAGTTAAAGATAAGAAGATCGATATCGAGAGTATTAAGAAATATTAGAATATTAATAAGTTATTATTAAATAAGATTCTTAATATCTTAAATACTATATAGAAAGTCTTCGTCGAGAAATATCTAGATCTAATAGCTTTTATATTCGTTTATAATAAGAATAAAATTCTTTTATAGAGTTCGAAGAGTGAAAGAAAGTTTTTATTTCTAATGCTACGACTGGGGGAAGTATATATCTCGATATACTTTTCTTTCTCTACCTGAGATTCGGTATACCTCGATATACTTTTTCCTTATCTTTACCTAGAGTATCCTTACCTCTATATATTTAACTTTTTCTACTTTTTTTTTAAATTCTATAAATTTCAATATATCTTTTTTTCCTTATACTTTCGAAGCGCTTTCGACTTTTACGATTACTATATATCTTTACGTTTAAATCTTTACGGCTAAGGAATTTTCTTTTATACTTTTTACTAATTCTATAATTAAAGAAAGCGCTTAATCGAAAGGAAACGCTCTATATCTTTCTCGGCCTAGCTTAGACTATATATCTTTATATCTAAATCTTTACGAGATAAGAAAATAAACCTTTTCGAGATATCTTTTACTTCAAATACTTTTCACGTCTAATTAAGAAACCCGTATAGCTTTTTATTAGGGCTTAATTGTTACGTTTTCGATATAGCGTTATATTACTTTCTTTTCTTTCTTTAAGAGTAAGAAACCTTACTAGCGTGCTTAGTATATCGCTTTCTTTTCTTTCTTCGATTTCGTTTATAGCTTTAGCTTAATTAATTAATTAATCCCAATTAGAATTAAGTTACATCTTTTTCTTCTTCGTAAAACTCCTTTTCTAGAAGTATATATATGCTTCTTATATAGTCTCTCTAATAATAGACGAGTATAATTCTATATTTTAATATTATAAATAGCGTTTAAGAAGTTAATAAGTATATAGATAAATTTCTTTAATAAGTTATATACTATATAAAGATCTATAGTATATTATTTCTTTCGATTTTAAAAGACTTTACTATTAAACTCTTCTTTAAATTTATATTATAATATAATATCTATATTATCGACTTTTTCTATTACTTTAAGAAAGCCTTTTTATTTATTATTTTCTATACTTTCTCATTATCGTTCTGTTACGATCGAAAATTCTACTCTAAAACCTTTATATATTATTTTCGTAGCTAAAATAAGACTACTATCACTCTTCGTATATAATTATTAATATATTCTTCTAAAATACCCCACTAACTAGCTAAAAGACGAAATTTACTTATACTTTTATTATTTTTGTTTTAAATAACTTTCCTTATCTTTTTAAGACGATCTTTATCTTATGCGAGGTAAAATTAAACCTTACTAAAATATCATTGTCTCAAGAAGGAGCGATTTTCGCAGAAAGAATAATCTGCTTTATGCTAACCATCAGCTCGGTGAAGTTGCAATCGACGTTCTCTCCCAGGCTCTTGGTACGCCTACTCGGCCGAGGCGAAAGGACTGTGAGCCCGATCTGGTCGTGTTTGCTCCTCTCTTTACCCGCCCTCAAGTTCCCATCTGATCCTCGAGCCAGACTATCATTCTGTACTGATCGTAAGTACGGCTTTTTCTACAAGGCGATACGGTCACGGCGTCAATGGTAAAAGACTCCGAAACGGGGTGGAGCCTGGAGGACCGGAGAGAAATATCGTACTGCAGGAGGTTTAGAGGTGATTATCCTTGATCCGACACAGAGTAGACACAATGGAATACACGCTAAGCCGATCTTTCTACTCAATAGTAGTCCGCCCCCGAGTCCTTCTTCAGGCTCAATTTCAGCGTATGAAGGCGGTTGACGCGTGGGGTTCGGCAATTGGACCACGGTGATCTGTTTCTGTAAACAGGGGGGAAGACAGCGGTGTGCGTTATTTGGTCTTGACTATTCACCCGCCAAAACTTTAGATATCTTACATTCTTTTAACACGAGCTTAATGTCACACGACTCATACTTTCACAGCCATCAACTCACATTCCTCCGCATCTGCCTCTCCGACTCCCAGCCCAAACCTCCAAACTCATCGACATCTCAGGAGACGGCTATCTCCTGCCCAGCCAAGGTCCAATACCGCTGGTTTTTTGGCCTGATTGACGTCTCTTTCTTCTACTTACTTACATGCTACACAATATAGATGAACCGAGCTTTGGTCCTGAGACCATTCTCATCCACTAACGCTTCGTCTTCCCCCTCACCTATCGCCTCCTCGTGTTCCGTCCAATTCTCATTCTCTCTGGTCAATAATCTCCTCAGCCACCACGCCAGCAATGCCACCAAAAACATGAAAAGGCTGCACACAGCCATACCCTTCACATAATATGGCTTATCACTATCCGGATAGAGTCTCGTACCTACCAGGGGTCCGAATTGTCCAAGGAGATTCAGCATTACGACGCCAGTCCCTCGCTTCGAGTCGGAGTTTTGGTTGTTGATAGTCCAGGTAAGGATGAGGGTTATTGCGGAGAAGAAGCCAGCGGCTGCGGGGTAAACACCGGCGTATCTCCATCTCGAATCGGCTCTAAGCATGCCTCCGATGGCGATGGAGAGGTAGCCGAAACCACCAAGGAGGGCGTGAAAGATCACGTAGTAGCTTCGATTCTGTGAACGATCTGAGAGAAAGGCGGTGACTAGAACGACGAGGAAGGCAACGAAGTAGGGCGGGGCTGAGAGGGCTTGGGATGCCAATGCGCTATAATGCATCCTAGTCACATGTCAGTAGGTGGATTGCGAAGATCTAATTGGAGGGAGTCGCAGTACTCGTGGACTATGGTCGGAAGGAAAGGAGGAAGACTGGAGAAAGCTACATTGCAGCTGAAGAACATGCACTACTCTCGCAGGTCAGTATACGCACTGGGCATTTTCGAGATGAGATACTACCGCAGTGATCCAACACTTCACGTCCGTCAAAGCCTCGCGTATCTCCTGCCAGTCTAATTTGGATTTTTTGCTCATCGTCCCTTTTCCGGTATGCCTTTCCTTGCTGAGTCTCAGACGCGCAATTTTCTTCTCGCGCTGGTTGAGAAATCTGGCCGTGTCAGGAGTATCGGGAATCTGGTACCACGCGAGTATAGCAACAATGATGCTGGGAAATCCCTCTACTAGAAATAACACTCTCCATGCTGATATATGGACATGATATGCCACCTTTGTTATCAGCCAGGCCAGGCTACTTGCAAACGAAGTTGCAAGAGGGGCAGCAGATATGAAGAGGCCGGTTCGAAATGCCAGCTCCTCCCGCTTGAAGAAAAAGGAGAGGAGGAAGGGGATTCCGGGGGAGAAGGCAGCTTCTCCGATACCGAGGAGGGCGCGGAGAACGAGCATGGAAGAAAATGAGCTTGCGACGGCTTGCAGGCATGCAGTCAGGCTCCATGTCAGCGTGGCAAGGGATATGTAGATGTGAGCTGGTACGATGCCGTACAGAAGGGTCATCCATTGAAATGTAATATACGTGCAATAGAAGCTTGTAAGTAGCCATTCATATTGGGAAGAGTCGAGGTTTAGATCTTCTGTCAAGCCGGCGATCCTCGCGTTTCCGATGTCTAGAGGGTTTAGTAGATGGCCATGCAAAAAGCGCTTGGACCTTGTTGTAGGTCCCGGTTAGACCTACTTGATCGGTCGAGAAAAGAGAGCATGTATAGGAATGCTATGAATAGAACCAAGTGGCGGTCGAGTTTTCTGACTATCACTCTTTCCTCATCCGCTGTGAAGCTTTTGAAGCTCTCTTTCCCGTTATCCTTCGCATGCTCACTAGCATCCTCTTCTGAGATGGCAGTAGAACAAAGGCTGGGGTCGCTAGCGATTCGAGGCAATTTCTGCCGCCAGCTGGAGGAGGCGTCTTCGAGCTCGAAATCTCCATCATGAATCACAACACTATTATCCATAGATTCGGTATTAGTAAATGTCGACTATCCAAAAGCTGGCCCACATTGTCATGTTTGGGTGTTTGGGAGAGCACAACGGACCTCAGCCGTGTCGCGTTGTAATTTATCTAACGATTTATTACGGTACAAGCGCTCGGACACATAAATTGGCGGGCCGCGGGATGATAATCCCCGATAAGATCGCCATTGCCGTTACACATGTAGGTTAGTTAGCATCGCACGCACTTCGCAACCTTTCAGCCCGGACGTGGTGCTTACAGAACTTATCTATAGTAAATTTTCATTAATTTCATAACCACTAAATCATAACTATCTTATTATATCAAGCCTCCTTATTCCAGATAACTTTAACACCACTATCATACTACTTTATTTCAACCTAGATTCTTATATTCTTCGATTTATTCACACTATAAAAGATAAAAAAAGGCTTATAGCGATTAATATTGTTAGCGAATATATAAATCATAAGTGTTACTTATCTCTTATTCTAACTAAATCTATAAGTCTTTATTTATATAATGGCTACTCTCTTAAAATCATAGTACTTATTATTTAAGAACTTGAACTATAAAGACATCTAATTTATATTTCCGATATCGTAAAGATAATATCTTTCACTATTATAAAGAGGGATCTATTCAAATAGTAGCTGTAAATTACGACGATTAAAGCGTAATTAGAATTTAATTTTAAAGCGAAAGTCTTCGGCTTAAACCTATCTATAATTTATTAGCAAACATCACCTATATAAGAATATCTTCTCTCTTATACATTACGCCTTTTTTATAAACTAATATAAGACTACATTAATTCGCTTTTAAAAGGTCTAAAATTAATCTATTAACGTAGTAAAATCAATATAATTAGCCTTCTTCCCTTCCTTCCTAATTACCTAATAGAGATATATATCCTTATAGATAGATAAGATCTTTTAAACGAATCAGCGATAATTAATTAATCTTTCAGCTATTCTTACTATCTCAAACTTAAAAAAAAGACGATATTTAAGCTCTATTTTTTTGCTTTTTTAATTTAATTTTTTTTTTTTTTTTTTTTTTAAATTTTAATTTTTTTTTTTTTTTTTTTTTTTATTTTTTATTATTTTTTTTTTATTATAAATTTTTAAAATATAAAATTTTAATTATAATATTTTATTAATCTTTTTTTTTTTTTTTATTTATATTTTTTTAAATTTATAAAAAAATTAAAATTTTTTTTTTTTTTTTTTTTTTTATTTTTTTTTTTTTTTTTTTTTTTTAATTATTTAAAATAATTATTAAAAAAAAATATTTTATATAATTTTTTTTTTTTTTTTTTTAAAAAAAATTAATAAAAAAAAAAAAAATATTTTTTTTTATTTATATAATAAATTAAAAAATATAATTATTATTATTTTTTATTATTTTTTTTTTTTTTATTTTTATTAATAATTTTTTTTAATATAATTAATTTTTTTTAATTAAAAAAAAAACTTTTTTAAAAAACTAAAATTAAATTAAAAAAAAAAAAAAAATAAATAATAAAAAAAAAAAAAAATAAAAAAAAAAAAAAAAATAAAAAAAAAATAAATAATAAAAAAATAAATAAAAATAAAATTTTAAAAAATTAAAAAAATAAATAAATAAAAATAAAATAAAAAAAATTAATAATTTAAATTATAAAAAAATATTTTTTTCTTATTTTTTTTTTATAACAAAAAAAAAAAAAAAATAAAATTAAAAAAAAAAAATAAAAATTTATATATTTATTAAAATATAATTTTTTTAAAATAAAAAAAACAAAAAACAAATAAAATAATAAAAAAAAAAATAAAAAAAATATAAAAAAAAAAACTTTAAATATTTTTTATTTTTTTGTGTTTGGGAGAGAGCAAAACAACCTCCCCCCTTTAATTTATCTAACGATTTATTACGGTACAAGCGCTCGGACACATAAATTGGCGGGCCGCGGGATGATAATCCCCGATAAGATCGCCATTGCCGTTACACATGTAGGTTAGTTAGCATCGCACGCACTTCGCAACCTTTCAGCCCGGACGTGGTGCTTACAGGAGCGGAGATGGGCGGTCAATGCTAGGTAGTCCGCGTAATGGAATGAGTTGAGCGGCCTACATGCATATCAGTAGGGAGAAGAGAGCATGTGTGGAGGGGTGTGAAGCGAGCGGAATCGACGCGAGCGGGCGAGGGAACGAAACGGCATGGGGTAATACAACAGTATTTCTTGTGCCACCCCAATGTCAGCTTCTGATCCTACTGCACAGCTTAGCTGCGTCCAACCCCGCCGCTTACAGACTTCACTCGCAATGTTCAGCTCGAATATCTCCGGCACATCCAGCACATCCACATCCAGCAAGACTCCTTCTTCACCAACGTCAATATACATAACGCAGCCTTGGGCCCCAGATCAGACTGAAGACATAAACACCTCAACCGAGACATGAGTCCGACATCTAGCTACACGGTACAATTCTTTCCATCTGTGGACGCGCTGCGCCAGACCGAAAGCTGATTTTACGATAGCATGTCAATTGGGCTTTGACTGGGACAGCTGGCGCCTTAACAATTGGTCGCTATGCCATCCGCTACGTCAGCTCACGGCGATTCTTCTGGGATGATTTGGTGCATTTGTGTGCTCTTGTGGTCTTGATCGCACATGGTGGCACAGACCAGCTTTCATTGAATTCGAAGGCCAGAATAAAGAATGCGGCAAACTCTAAGCCGCGGCCCTCCCAAACCTACCTTCTCGGGCTCTACGAACATAATGAACGACTAAGTAGCGTCAATAACTGTTTCTTGTACTTGGTATTTTGGATAGTGAAGCTGTCATTCTTGATGCTCTACCGCTTCTTGTTCCAGTCTTCGACACCGTTCAAGAAGGCATGGTGGGTGGTACTAGCCTTTACCGTTGTGACCTTCTGGGTACCTATTGCGGGCGTTCTCTCCACTTGTGCTGGTGCAGATACCGTGGCCGATTACAGTCAGTGTTTCTTCCGATCTTCCTTTCAGCTCACCTAGACTAATGAGGTATTCTCATAGAGGCTTGCGATGGGCAAACTCATGGACGGGTAATCAAACTGGAGTACAGCTGTGTTGTGAACATTGTATCTGACTTGGCAAGTAGGTTACCCTTGTTTTGCCTGGATTGTCAGGCCAGCAATAACTGACTTTCACAAGTAATGGCCCTGCCCTTTTGGATGCTCAAAGACTTGAAGATCGCTATGTCCCAAAAGCTCGGACTGGCATTCATATTTTCTTTTGCGATTGTCTGCGTAGCATTGGACATTGTTCGTGTCGTCGAGGCTGTATCTCAAAACCAAGCACTATACACCGTCATCGAGATTAACTTGGTCGTCGTCATGTCTTGTCTACCAACATACCGCTCTTTACTGAGCATCAGACAACGAAACAAACCACACCAAAGTCACCCCTGGAGATCCCTCGAACAGGGGAACTATTGGAGAAGCCATGAAGGTGACAATCATCCGCTCAGGAGACGAAAGTCCAGTGATTTTGAAGTTGAAATGAGCGCAAAATCCATCCATATCACACAGGCCTTGGATATATCGAACGTTGCACGGGACTCGGATCCGCTAGATACCACAAGCAAGCCGGCAAGAGCAGCATCATCACCAGCTGTCCGCACACAAGCCTTCTCATAGAACGCGACTTGATGGGAACAGGGCCAAGCAAGATTCAATTGCATGTCAACGACGGAGGAAGTCCTTTGTGGCGAATTAGTACAATTGATTTTATAACAATTAACAAACACCATGAACCCTACTTCTACATCTTACATCTGTGATTGGCGGTTTAATATTGCCGCAAATCTCAATGTGCCCGAGAGAGGTGTACACGTGTTATCAGGATGGGTCAGCGGTGTAAGCGCATGCCGTAATCTGGTATAAGGCGAGACATTGTGATTGCATACTTCACTGGCTGCTATTTTTAAACGAGGCCATGAGAGAAGTGCCATGCTTTGCAATTGAATAGTGGGGCCCGCCGTAATATTACTGTACGCCGCGTTCTAGTCGGTATTATCGTAGATCTTTTCCAGATCAGGTTAAGGTAGCCTGCTGCAGGACCTGCAGGCTTGATGGAGCAGCCACGAAGAGACGGTCATGCTATCGAGGACGTGAGTAGGAAAATAAATATGAGGCTATATTTCAAGACATGGGTTGATGGGACATTGGGACATTGACCTGATCTGATCAAGTATAATAAGTGATATGCATGATCCCGTGCCTGGCCTCTTCTGTGTGGCTGCAGCTCTGAAACAGGAAACCTGGAGGATTCCCCCTGCATCATCAAAAAGAAATATACTAGAGCACCTGTCAGCCGTGCAGTCAACACAGTCACACGCTTCCACACTTCACTACTTAACTCATGTCTTCTTTTCGTGCTTTAGCTTGCAACTGTACTACTTACACAGACTTCCAGTCTTGGCCCGTATCTCTTCGAATCAAAGTGACTCCAAACTGACGGTGCTTTGGTTACGAAGTTCTGTCGCCTGATATTTTACCTCGAATGACTTACCATAATCATGCTGGGCCAAGCCCACGAGACCGTTGCCTTGCCCTGGGTCAGCTCCGCTATGCCTATGATGGAGCATCACGAGAGCCACAAGAGCGAAGAGCGCCATGATGCCCACTTTGATAGCCTGACAAAGCGTCAAGCATACTGCCTCTTCGCTTCTCATATTCTATCTATGTGGAATTCACGGATGTATGAATTTGGTGTGGTGAGAGTCCCCCAGTGCTTCTTCAGAGCCAGGAAGCCAAGTCATGTGGGACGATGGTAACAATAAGCCAGATTTTATTCATTCAGGCCTCCTTCCCGGGGAATCTCACAGCGTCGTCCATCAAGTGAGTAGTATTCTTCTCCAGCATGGTGAACTTGCCGACCTCTAAACGAATCTCGCATGGTAGTGGTATCGCTGAGACCGTTTGCGTGCTCTTGTTCGCTAGCGCCCTTGGCCGCTGGGTTGACTGCACTCCTTCCCGCCTTCGAGTCCTTCTCATAACTATCGTCATTAATCGCATCAGCATTCTACTCTCTTGTATAACATGGTTCGTCATCCTGTCCTTCAGCTATCCAGTCCCAAAACAGGTCTTTTTCGCAATGGCCCTTATTCTCGGCATGGTCGAGAAGCTCTCTCGAGGAACCAACCTCCTTTCGATGGAGCGAGACTGGGTTCCGACGCTCGCCAATGTCTCCATCGATGCCAAACATCCTGCAACTTATGACCTGACGCACCTCAATACGACAATGAGACGGATAGATATGCTGTGCAAATTGATCGCGCCACTGGCCATCTCTACCTTCGTATTCACCGTTGAATCAGAAAGAGTCGCGGTTGTCGTGCTGGCTGCCATGAGTACCCTAAGTTTGGGTCCTGAGTGTTGGGGTGTAAAAGAGGTATGGGACCATAACAGCCGACTGAGAGCACGGAAAGGAAGAGTCGAAGATACTGCAACAGGCAGTAATCAAGATCAACCAATGCAGCTATGCTACACCAAGACTCCATCAGCACGACTAGCGCCAGATTTATTTGGGAAGGTCGCCTTGCAAGTTATGGGCTCAATCCGCACATATGTGGCCGACCTCGGGTACTACTTCAGCACCTCTGTGTGGATACCTTCTCTCTGCGCCGCCGTACCCCATGCATCCGTCCTTACCTTCTCAGGGACTATGCTGACATACCTTCTCAACGCCGGATATTCTCTAAACACAATCACAGGTGCCAGGGCTATCGGAGCGGTGTTTGAGATTGGCAGCACGTTCATCTTTCCGTGGGCCGTGGGAATACTCTCTACACCGAAGCATGCGACCTGCTGGTATAATGTAGGAGATTATCATGAGGTCGAGCAGCGAGAGCCATCCTCAATATCTGACACAAGTCTTGGCGACACGGACGAGAACCACGAGCAGTGTGGCCAGAGCGGCCCTATAACCGAGCATAGTGTTATAAGAGTAGGCTCTTGGGCCCTTGGTGGTCTAGTTCTGAGCCTGGTAAGCATACCTGCACCTCCCATGGTCTTCTCAAGCTCTGTCGAAGATCAGTGCCAATTGAACTACTCCCAGATCCCTGTTGTCCTCAGCCTATTCTTTCTCGATGCAAGCCTCCATACTTCAATCACTAGTACCTCCAGCCCACATCAATCTCCCATAACACCTTATCCCCTCAACACCATTATCCTCATTTCCTCCATCTCTATATCGCTCCTCTGCCGTTGGCTTTATGATCTTTGCGCTACCCAATTAACACAGACGCTGGTCCCGGCCACAAAACGCTCTTCCTTCGGAGGTACCGAGATGTCGATCGTCAGCCTAGTCAGTCTTGGACATTGGATCGCGGCGGCAGTGTGGCATACTCAGAGCGACTTCAAGTGGTTGGCGCTCGGCAGTTTCGCGGTTGTTGCTATTGGGGTATTAGCTTACTACTGCTGGCAAGGCTGGTGGAGAAGGCGGCGAAGAGCGAGCGGAGAGCGGATTGGAGAAGAGCTTGGAACAAACAGTGTACTGTAAAACTACTCTACAATTGGTAAAGGCTTTGTGGTCCATTTGAGATCCACATTATATCTGAGCAGGGATTTATACCCCGTTCTTCACCCATCGGCGTCGATGTCCAGCCAAGTAGAAGTTTGTTAACGCAAAAAGTAAGATCTAGCTCTGGCATTTCACCAGCTGCCCCAGGTCCTCCTCTTACCCCGACCAGGACTGCATACGAAATGCTAGACCGCACCCTCCGCGAACATAAGCCTGACTCCCTTAGTGTGGTCGTATCAAGTTCAGAAGCTCCAGTAGATCGGTCGCGAGTTTCCGCCGTAGACAGCAAGCGAAAACCCTCCAGGAAATGCCGGACTTTCTGTTTCCTCGTCCGTCTCATGCCTCGACTGAACTCATCATCGTGCCTTTTCCGCGTTCGGACTAATCCTGATTGAACGGTACACATAGGGTTCCTTATCTAGGGCTTCTAGGCACTGTTAGGGTTTTCCGTCTGGGGTTTTCGAGGATTCTAGGTACTGTTATGGCCCCGTGTTCTAGGCGATGGTGAGTATTTTGCTTCGAGGGGTAGGGCTGTTCCCGCTTTGGAAATATTACTTACAATAAGTGTTATGAATTTTTTTGCTAAACCTCCCTACTGTCTTAGCGCTGTTGCCGAGGACGGGAATAGCGGCCTCGGCCGTGGCCCCGGACCGGCGCTTTGTAATTGCCGTATCGAGATATCTCAAACCCCTCTTCAGCAAGATCACATTCTGCAAATGGCGGCGCACACCTGGTCACATAGCAAAGGAAGCTGAGCCCATAGACAGACTCAAATATCCAATGGATCAACAGAATACAGTATTCTGAATTAGGGCTAGATGGCGATCGAGACCCTTGCGTCGTGCATTTTTGCTTTTTCAATTCTTCCCATTTCTACACAGCTTTCCCTTGGTCAATTTCAGTAGGCTTTTGAGGTGATAGAAATGTCGTTCAGAATTGATGCTCTACGCTCGCTCAATCGATGGCAAAGCAAAGGGATCAAGCAGCCTTTGACTGGAAAGAACAGCTTCCGCCAATACGCTGATGCTTTCTATCAGCCTGTTTATCGAACATCATGGAGGGCGCGAATTGGATACTTTTTCAGTGAGTAGCTATTACTACATCCCTCGTCAACGCTTGGAGCTGATGCATGTTTAGCGGGTGCAATCTCATTGGTTGTGCTAGGTAATGCTTTGGACCATTGGGTGCCTGGACTGTGGAGACGTCAGGATTGGTCTTCTGCCCTGGCTGCCGCTTCTTCGACCTCGCCGCTGTCTAAAACCCCTAAACCTCTGCACAACATCACCGACCAAAACATGAGCGAGGCACGCAAAGAGCTCATCGGCATCGTTGGCCACGATGGCGTAGACGACACCCCTGGCAACCTGCAATCTCGTTCGAGGACTGAATGGTCTCCGTCTCCGGGAAGCACCTGTGCTGCTCTCATCATCTTCCCACGCGATACCAGAGACGTCAGCGAGATCATGAAAGTGTGTCACCGCCGCCATATCCCTGTCACAGGGTTCTCCGGTGGCACAAGTCTTGACGGTGCTTTAGCATCCACCCGCGGCGGTATCTGCATTGATTTCTCACGTATGAATCGTATCTTGAAGGTGCATGATCGAGATATGGATGTCGTGGTCCAGCCTGCTGTTGGTTGGGAAGATCTGAATGCGCGGCTTGCCGAGATCGATCTCTTCTTCCCACCGGATCCGGGGCCTGGAGCACAAATTGGTGGCATGATTGGAACCGGTTGTTCGGGCACGAACGCTTATCGCTATGGTACGATGAAAGACTGGGTCATTTCTACCACAGTCGTGCTGGCGGATGGCACCATTGTCAAGACAAGGAATCGACCAAGAAAATCGACAGCTGGATATGACTTGACGAGGCTCATAGTTGGATCCTCGGGTACTTTAGGCTTGGTTACTGAGGCTGTCTTAAAGGTAACCTCGAAGCCTGAGAACGAGCAAGTCGCGGTCATTGCATTTCCTAGCAGCGCCAAGGCTGTCAGTACAGTCATTGACGTTGTCCAGAAAGGTATACAGCTTGCAGCTGTGGAGCTGCTCGACCATAATACCATGAGAGCAGTGAATCAAAGCGGGTATTCCGACAAGGAATGGAAAGAGACCCCAACACTATTTGTGAAGTTCTCGGGGACGAAGAGCGCCGTACAAGAGCAAGTCGATATACTGAAAGCGCTCGCAGATAAGCACGGTCGAGAATCCTTTGAGTCGTCAAGCGACCCCGAACAGATCGCTGCGCTATGGGCCGCTCGCAAAACAGCTCTCTGGAGCCTCATCGCGCAGAAGCGCGATCCAGACGACAAGTTCTTAGGCTCCGATGTTGCAGTCCCTATATCTCGATTGGCCGAGATCATCGACGAAAGTGACTCCAAAATCAAAGCAGCAGGTCTGCTTGGCTCGACTCTTGGCCATGTTGGCGATGGAAATTTCCACGCCTCCATCCTTTACGGGGAGAAAGACAGGGTTGCGGCGGAAAATATCATAGCAGATATCCGACGGCGAGGCATCGAGATGGAGGGAACTGTAACCGGGGAGCATGGTGTTGGTCTGGCGCTAAGGGATATGTTGGAGGTTGAGTTGGGCGAGAATGCTGTTGATATGATGCGGAAGATCAAAGTGGCATTGGATCCACTGTGTCTGCTAAATTGCGACAAGATCGTACGAGTGGAACCCAATGATGGGCAATAAAAGTTACCCGGGAAGGCTCAAGCGGGAGATCTGAAGACGATGAAATGACGTTAAGTCTTTCGGTTTTTGGTGAGTAAGTACCTTCTGTATCGCGCTTTTCAGATCATGTTGGACTGTAGGCACTTCAACGTATGTCTAACGACCCGCTGACATGCCCTTGGCATGACTCACGAATTATGCTCACATTATTCCTTCATGGCTAGAATTCCGTTTGAAGGCCAAGGCTTCGGCCTCAGGGATCATGTGTGGCGAGGGGGTGTCGTATCAAGATATTCAACTATTTTAAATGCATTTAATGAAAATTTGGATGTTTCTCATATATCTGATCTTTCTATTCTCCTTCTTCATACACCCTCCATTATTCCATCACCGCGTTTGGAGACCTTAGAAATCCTGATTTTCCAGGAGACGTATTTATACCAGAATACATTCATCTACGAACAACCTCAAATTTACAAGAGTATCATTCCGACCAAGTCATGTCGCCTCAGACACTCACCCGTCAAGACATCAAAGAAGATGGCAAGCAGCTTCGAACAATCACGTCTGTACATCCGATTACCGACCAAGACGATAGTCAACAGCCTGAACACAATATGGATGGTCCATCGTTAAGGCGACCAGATACTCCGATTGCTGGTCAGCAACCCGAAATAACAGACAGTACTCCATGCGAGTCAACAGAACCCTCCTCACCAGCCAACGCCTCTTCAACAACTCCCACCTCCGGAACATCTACCAACTCACCCCTCGGCCGTCCACCCCCAAGCTCAAAACACTACTATCTTAAAGAAATGTGGCCCGGCCAGCCCATCTGTCATCTCTGCCAAAAGGAATACGAAAAGACCAACCGCGCCATCCGCGCCCTCCTCTGCGGTGACATCTTTCACCGCGCGTGTATCGACCACCTACTCGGCCACAAAGACGGCCGCTGTCCATCGTGCGAGTCTCCAATCCCACCTGAATGGTACATGCCTCACAAGTTCGATCCATCGAAGCCGCCAGGCTCGCCTTGTCTTTGCCACCCAGCATCCAAAGCCCGTACCACCACGGGGACCAACACCAAGAACGGAGGCCCTTCTTTTACTTCCCCTGGCGTTTTAGCCATCCGGAAGGTCTACCAGCGCACCAAGGAGATCATGGTTCGTTGCGCACCGCGGCGAAAGCCGGAGAAAGTGTATGCCAGCTACAAGACGGAAAGTGGGCAGACTAGGTACGTCGAGGGGGAGTCAGGCGTCGGTCTGCCTGGCCCAGGGTCTGGATGTGCCGATGCCGATGGAGACTTACAGTATTAGGTCAGTCCACTTTTAGTTGGCGTTCTGTGGCTCACTTGTCTGACTATTACTAGGAATGAGTACACAAACGAGTGGTTCATTTCTCAATGTCAGGCCTCAGCCAAATTTATTTGAGAGCTTGCAGGTTCAAATGTTTGCCACGCGACAGGGATGTTTCCTCAAACGATGCGACTGATCATTCTCTGGTATGGTTGGATTGTAGAATAGCTGATTCCAACCCATTTCCTCCTATTGTACTCAACTTTGTGCTCCATCTCAGGACATTCGTCGCTGCGATCTCAGGGTCGTGGTCCGACGTCGATACTTTCAGAAACATTGTGCAGCCGTTCTAGACCAATTCTTCGTTCTTGTCTCCGCGAAACCCGTGGATCAGGCGCGCGGAGCAACCTGACTCGGAATCTTTCACCGCTTCAATGTCCCGGAGTTCTTCAGCTCCGGTCGAGCAAGCTCTGCAAGCTACTATTTCATTACATTCCTCTACCCATAACTCCTCTGCACTGCACGCATTTTTCAGGGGGATAAAGCTGGCGATCTGTCTGATAATGATCTTAGATTCGACGCGGTCTTGTACCCCATCTACGCATCCTACAAGAAAGCCACAAACGCAATCGTCATATGGATTTGCTACAGCTGCGAGCGGGAGGTATTTGGGTCAAGACGGCGCCGAAAGGAACCTTTAAAGAGCTGAGGCGAGCAGCGACGACGATTGCAAAGTCGAAGTGCACGGACGTACCTCTGAGGATCCCTTATGCGTTCCAGGATGCCATCGAAGCTCGAAAGGAGATCACTACATTCTACAAGCAGCATACCAAGATCGACAGTATAGGAATAAAGAAGCACGAGAATTCCACAGATATTTATTTCAACTCACCCAGCTGTAGAAGCATTGAGGAAAATGATAGAAGTCTGGGTCAAGGCCGTAGTAGGCTCCATTCCGAATATTTTCGCTGCCTGGCTTACCACTGCGGCAGTGGGACGTCTGCGGTACTAATTCAACAGAGGCCCATTTTCCATATCACTGAACGCCACGGATCATGGAGTGCTTTATGTTAAGTACAAACCTTTCCTAGGGATTGATAACCATGATAGCAGCGTTTCTCAACTTCTCGCCCGCGACTCAGCTCAGAACGGTGTTCTTTCTTCGGGTCACGGACTGTTTGGTCCGGCCGAAGCAATCATCCGAGGGTCAAGCACGCAGTTCGAGGATAGTACTCTAGAAGTAGCAGTCTTTGAGAACCCTGCAGACTGCGCGGACGACAGAAAACGTCAACACGGCGCTGAGAGTATATTGAAGGATGAACTACACGAGAGCATGAAGAAACAAACACCTTCGGCCCTTTGAGGACACAGTATCAGAATCCCTCTACAATATGAACCCTTCGATCAAGAACATACCTGAGATCCATCGATCGTCGGACAGCAGCAATGCCCCGGACGGATCGACATCAAGCATCGTGTTCTTCGGTCTGCACCTTTTTGTGGACTCTTACAAGAGTTTCTTGCTCTGCGACGAAAGCACATCTAAGACCTTGACGTTTCCAGGCGTCACAGATAAGATCAGGTGCATGAGGCTGTGCTGTCTAAACCAAATGGGGGCTAGAAAGACGGACAAGCACCTGGTACTTTAGGTGGATTGCCTGCCCTGCATTAGTGTAGTAGCGCGACTTGAGGCTCTGCTTTGCGCAAATGCGGATACTCTCTGAGTCTCTATTCTGACTTGCAGAAAAGCGGTCCATAGAGGAATATTGCTATAGGAGAAGCGACAGCAGCATTAGCCGCGACCCTGATTGCATTCAAACACGTGGGTTTATTCTTCCATTTGCTTCTTCGACTCTTGTCTCTACGGGAATGCATGGCGCTGCTACAAGCCCGCGCGGCGGCATTGCTGCTGCTCTTCCTCTATGCATTCTCCGCCTTCGCAGCTAGTCTTCAGTCGAACGTTTCCAGCCTTTCGAACGCATCCTACTCTGACGCTACCAGCTTGCTGATGGTGAACAGCTCCTCAAACAACAATGAGTATGGCGACTGCTTCAACCCGGCCACACCGCGTAGGGGCCTCTACCCAGCCAGAGAGCAAGACTGCGTCAACGCTGCCAAGGAACTGTTTTACTTCAGAGACCCTTTCCGGCCCACTACATTCGCCAGAAGAAATAATGTTGGTTTCAGGCTTCCAAAGGTGGTCCGAAACGGAACGTGCGTCATCTCAATAGACGTAATGAATGATGCGGATAAGGACAAATTTAAGCCGTGGCTGGTCTATACTACAGCCATGGACATAGCGCACAGATGTACTCAGGCCGCTTTTGGTTTCGGTGGGAGGAGCATGGCGGGACCGAAGAAGGTGGTAGACGTTCTTGTCTTCGGGAGGGGTTTACCTCTTAAAAATGGGGTAGTTGGGCCGGCAGAATCGGAGAGTGCTGTCATCGTCGCTAGAGAGCAGTTGGCTCGCGACGATTCAAGCTTGCTGAATGAAACTTCGCTCAACTTGATTGAGCTGTCGGCGGTGGACACCACTAGTCTGGACGACAGATTGGGCGTAAATGCCCCTCAGCTCGGCGGAGCCTTAGTATGTGCCGATCCACCTCTACCACGCGAACGAGCTTGGCCGATCAACTTCAGAGATTGTGAGATGGTCACAAACGCAATCTTTGGGGATAGGCAACGCGATCAGAAGTATACCTTTAGCCGAGAACCCGTGGCCACGAAGTTCTATTATCCTCTTCCTGCGAAGTTTAGGTACAGGTCATGTGTGATCCTTTTGGACATGAACAACAATAATGATCAGGATACAGTGAGGCTGTCGATCGTTGAGGCTACTGCATGGGTGCTGGCGCATAAGTGCTCCGGCGAAGAGAGATCCGTGGATCAGTTTGGTGGACGGGCGACTGTGGGTGTTGGAGCGAAGGACTTGATCAACATATGGGTCTATGGAAGCCTATGGCCAACACCAGGTGGGGCGTCGAACGTGACGGGTCTGATTCTAGCTCAGCCCGCACGCTTGATAGATAGCGAGTAGGGGAAATTTAGATGAATGATAGCCACATGAGCAGCGGTCGGTTCATGTTTCGAGGTCCTGTGAGGAGCTGTGGCCCTATTCAAAGGCCTCGCACTCGACTATTCAACAAAGAATAGAAGAGAAATAAGAAGAGACGGTTCGCGAATTCGAGAATACTGTAGGTACCTAATTGGAGATTTGCACTAGCGCTACACCGGGTAGCAGGAGTGAGAATGACCCAGCTTCTAGCGCGTCCAACTACTCACGCTACTCAACGCGCACCCTCAAGGACAACCATTCCTAGTAAACGAAAAGCACTCAATCTTCTGAAAAGATTCCCCTGGTTTGCACTTAATCTCTCGTCCATAAAATGTCCAGTCGCCCAGCCAAGCGTGCCCGCTCGGATACAGATACGAATGCCGTTGACCCCTCCAAGCTTCCGGAGCTCGTCGACAGCATCGACCCAAAAACAATCGCAAGTCTCCTCATTACCGCAGCGAAAATCTACCCAGAAATTGCGTCCATCGTCCAACGGGAAGTTGATCGCATCGCCGCAACTGAGCGCACCAAAGTCCTGGACTTTGATTATCTCTCTAAGTCGGCGTGGAAGACACTGAACGTCACATATGATCGCATGAAGGGCTCGCATGCATATGAGATGGCCGGAGAGGCGGCAGAGAGCATTGAGGCGTGCTTTGAGACAATTCGAACCCGTTGCCCGAAGACTGCTAGTTTCAAGACCAAAGAGAGTGCACTGGAGACATTGAGAAAGATTGCGAAGTCGATATGTTTGAGCGATGGGGTGGTGGGCCATGAAATTAGGCAGGACTATGATTCTGGAGGAGAATTGGTGCCAGTAATGTTGGAAATTGCGGAAAGCCTGACATCTGAAGAGCTGGAAAGGCTGAGGCCGTGGTGCGATGATAAGCTGATAGAGCTACAAGGAATTGCTGATAGTTACTGCATTTTCGAGGATTTGGGTCAGGTCATAGACCTTTGGGGTGGAGACGAGGAGGACGAGGACCAGAGCAGCAGTGATAGCAACGAAGAAGTCGAAAGCAGAAGTGGAGATGAAGAGGAAGTTGAGGATGAAAGATTCGTCGCGGGCATGCTAGCCCAGAAACACTTTGAGATACTCTGAACGTTGTGCTATGTGCCGTTACGGCTTAGACATCGACTGAGACCATGGCTCAGCACGGGCTGAAACAACAGTAGTCAGTTCGTACCAGTTGCGCCAAACGAGAGCGCTGCTTTCCGCAAAGCATTTAGCGTATTCAAAAACATCTGGAATGCTTGGCACCGGAGATCACCCAAATTCGTACTATAGTATAGAAATCTCTCCGCAAAATCATTCAAATCAAGTAGCCACATCGCAAATAGTCGCATTTAATTAATTTTGAAGCTATATAACCTCAGCTATACGTCCTAAACGCACCAATAACGTAGTAGCCACCGAACCGCCGCCGTCGCCGCCCCTCAGTCGCCGTCGCAGTAAGAATTACCCCCCCATAACTACTGAAATAGCCTCTGCTTAAGAAGCTTAAAAATAGATAAATGGGGGGCTGAGTGTTAGCAGCAGCCGGGACCCTACGACGGCCCTGCGGCCAAGTATTTAGGTCCAAATAGGGGTGTCTGACTGTCAAGCGCAGACACCCCCGGGACCAGGCTTTTTTAGCTGAGTTGCTAACACTGAGGAACATACCAAGACTTCAGTATAGCTTCATCTTTTTATTGAGGACCTATGTTAACGATAGCAGTGTTATTAAATGATTTTGCGGAGAGATTTCTATGCTACAGTACGAATTTGGGTGTGTGGTGTGAAAGATCTCCGGTGCCAAGCATTCCAGATGTTTTTGAATACGCTAAATGTGGAACGACTACAACCTGGAAGCGGGAGGTGGAGCCAAAATGACGGGTTGTTGGCAATTACGGCACTTCTGCGTATTTGGATCAGGTCAATGAGCTGTGGCCTTTAAAAGCTAGGATGAGAAGGAGGCTGTGCATGAGCATGAAACACGAGCACGCTGCTGAATGTCGCGAGAGATTCGCCGCCGGACGCGGAAGTTCAGACTGGAAGATCAAAGCAAAGGCAGCGGCCTACCGCCATGGTCTTTAAAGTCAATGTGGAGACCCAGGCACTGGATAGGCTCTTGATGGGGTTTAGTAATCGTGGACCACGAAGCGATAATAGGGCCACGATTAGGTCTTTAGATGCAGAACGTTCTGGGACCGGAGGTGACTGCTACGACTGGATGGCCTACGCTTTGTGGAAGATGGTCTGGTAGGCCAAACCTTTTTGTCGGACGACTGCTTGATTCTCTTCTTATGCAGGGACTTGCCTATTTGGCTTCTCAGGGGGAATTAGAGCAAGCATTGGGTTCAGGCCGCTGGACCGGTACCCGCATTTTGTTGCCCAACCATTTATCAGCCAGGGTAGCATACGCATTGACAGTAACAGGCCATAGTTCCAGAAACAAGCAAAGAAGAAGGCGGATAATTGGACATTTCTCGTCTTCATGCCGCAGAGCCGCAGACGCGCTTCATTATATGGCTGCGGCACTGATTGTAGTTGCAAGCATTGCACAAAATTAAACACCACAGCATTTCCTTCTTAGTCCTCGTCTTAGCTCTCCTTTCTTTCTTTCTTTCTATCTTTCTTTCGTTGTTCGACTGTGCAATTACGAGTATATACTTTACATCATGCATTGCTTCCACCTCCTTCCACTATTCACATGTATAGCTCTGTCTAAAAGCCAAGAGACGATTCCTCCTTTCAAATTGCCCCTTCAGCGCAGAAACACCGGTATATCTGCGGTCCAATCGTCAATGTCCCAATGGGATACTAATGTAACCATTGGGGGCCAGAACGTAACCTTGGAAATTGACACAGGCTCTTCCTTCTTGTGAGAGCTGCTTTCGAAAGTGTTCATACAGGTCCAAGATCTTCTAACAACATGTCCCAGATGGGTCCTCGATCCGTCCCTTTCTGCATTGAACTCCAGTAACCGGGGCACGTATGACTACACCAAGAGTCGTACAGTGAGCCCTGTGAACGAATCCTTCACCGTTGCGTACGGAGGAGGTCTAGTCACAGGGCGTGTGATCGAAGAGACCGTCACAATCGGTGGCCTCACGTTCAACAACGTTTCGATGGGTATCGCCAATGCTAGTTCTCCGTATTTCCTTGAACAGCCTTCTATCGGACTGTTGGGTCTGGGTCCTCAGCCCACCTATGGTATGATAGCCCCTGTGGCCTTGTGGTGCTTTGGTTCAAACTCAGTAGCAGTGATTGGGCGCTGATCAAACCACCCCCGGCACCCAGCTCGAGCCTTACCAGCTCCGTTTTCTGTTTCAGAGATGCAAAGCTTCGCCTTGGACTTCAAAGTTACAGGCTCGGACGGCTCGGCCAGTATCGAGTTTGGCGGCATCGATCATAGCAAATACGTAGGCCAACTCGCGAACGCACCCTTGAACAGCACGGATGGCCACTGGGCGGTCGACGACGTGGACTTCAGCGTTGGGAATGTGCGCATGAACACTAGCACATATGTCGTTCTAGGTGCGTATCGCTCCATCCATTAAGACTCCTCAACCTAGCCTGCCTTAACCTAACCTGCTGTTTCGCTCTTCACAGACACAGGCGCAGGACACAACATAGCCACCCCGTCGTCAGTTGCTGAAGCCTATTACAGTCGAGTGCCCGGAGCCGTCTTCGATGATCGTATCGGCGATGGCATTTCACTGTGGTACGTGTCTTCCGCGGTCCGAACTTTGAGCAATTTTCGAGTCACGGCTTGGGCAGTATTTGCTTCTTTCTGTAGATGTGTTCCCGGGCCCGCAGAAGCAGTCTGAAGAGCCAGCGCTGACTCCGAAACCTCCAATCACCCAGGCTCGTCCCGTGCAACGCAACGCTCCCTGACCTGGCTCTGCACATCGGCAACGGCACAGCCACTGTCGCCGGCGCATCCATGATTGGACTCCCCGTCAATGCATCTACGTCTTTGGATTCTTCATCGAGTGGTGAGTCCTTTCGCTTGGCCTGATTCGTCCTTCGATTCTATGGAACGCTGGGTCCCTGATGAGACGTAGCTGTGTATTGTAACCCGAGTATTCAGAACGCTTCCGATCCGAAACTGTTGGGCTTCCCGTTCTTTGAGAACAATTACGTCGTGTTCAATCAGACGGGGAAGCCGTCGCTTTTATACGCCCCGTATGCATAGGAAGCCGCAGGATTGGTCTGCGCGGAGGATGGTGATTCGGACAATCAGAAGCCCTGACGACTAATAACACCCATGGGTAGTCATTGTACCCATGACAATGGGTATTCATCGAGGCGATGCCGAGAAGAAAGATAGCCTAGCTAAAAAAGGAGTACGAGCCACAGTGTCTGCAATGTTTTTGTGGAAACCAACACCGGCCCGATATGAGGCTATGGGCAATGCTCACATATTGGAGGAGTACTCGCGCCCCAAACATGCGCAAATTCCCTCGCGCATTCCCAACAATCCTCATTACCCCATTCCGTTTTACAGAATAGTGCCTTCTTTTTCAAATCCTAGCGGCATTAGGCACCGCGTTGGTGCTAAACACCACCAGCAATCATCAAACCCTCATCTAGCAGCCTCAACCTCAATCCACTCTCAAAATGTCAAGCCTACCGTCGGTCTTTAGATAATGGCTTTGGAACCCCCCTTCCTACCAACAGGTATGGCACATGTGTAGGAGGTCATCCAATGAAGTTCTATAAATCTTGGTTCACCGGTTGAAGGTGCGCTCTGTGCCATGCTCCTGATAGGCGCGTGGAGTAGGCAATCGAAGGTAGCCGTAGATTTCGGGTCTAATTACTTACCGGTAGGAATCCGATGGAGGTGGCAGACCAGACCGCTCGCGAGCAGAATTGGAGATGCCATGAAAGGGATGTTATCTGTGCTCCTCTCTTAGATCTTGATCGCAGCCATACCTTACCTTCAACACTTCAGCTGTTGCTTTATTTACTTGAGGCGCGCGATTATTAGATTTCGCTTGACCCCGCTTATTCTTACCTTATAGCTCCTCGACCCGAGATTAAATCAACTGTGGATTGGTTCAACACGCGAGACCACAGCGCTTTCAGGATGTCTCGCACAGTCAAAGTGAAGCCGGACAAGATCTCTGCTATGCTGGCAGCGTTCGACAATAATCTGGATCCTGTGCAAGACATTGTCTTGGATCTTTGGAAAGGGTTTTCCACACGGATCTACTTGCAAATTGGGAGCGATGAGGAAGAAGACGCCAACTACTACCTCCCTGTCTTCGTCAGCTCAGATATCGATGACTGGGGAGACATGATCGACGTCGGGCGAGCGTTGCAAATGGGGCTATTGGAGGTTGCGGACAATGACACAGCGGTAACAGTGAAGCCAGTCGACGAAGAACTAGAAACACTCTGCGCCAATCGCCAGGAGTCCGATCCCGGGGGAGGTCAAACACACCCATTGAAAAGGATCAATGCTAGGCTCCTGAACCGTCTAAGGCGGTATCTCCTTCCTGGAAAACAGTACAAGCTTCGGTTCTGCGGCGCGCGCTTCACGATTTGGTCCAAATTTGGGAACCGCGAATCCACGTCTCAAGCAACATTGACGCCTTCGGAATGGCCTGAGGATGCTAGAGTCCAGATGATTTGTGGTCCTGAGCCTCTACTTTTCACCGTCGTTGCAGGGGTCCCAATACCTCGCTTCACCGTTTCCTTCTCGATAAGCTCGTCAAGATGCTATCTTGGCGACCCATGCAATTTTTTCGTCACCTTGACCGTGACATCGCTAGAGGACCGGCCTGTGACAGTGGACTCACTGCTTGACAGGACTGAAACCGACCTTTATCCAAGTGAACCTTATTCCATATGGAACGAGAAATTGTCGGCCGACGTCTTCAATACAAATGATGAAGAGACTGGAAAGTGGGGTACCTTACACAGCAAAGTCGAACGATTGGATAAAAATCCCATGGAGAAAGCCGCCGTGCGGCTGCTTCAGTTCAACAAGGGTACAACGCATACTCGCAAGGTCTACTTTTCAAGGGACGAACTCTCAAGCCACGAATGCTCATGGAGTGATGACTTTGCAGGTCTTACACCTAAAAAGACATACAAGATGGCCATCCGAACAATGGGCTACGTTGCATGGGACTACGGCCATGCACATGAGCTCCGGGAAACTCATCGAGACCAGCAAGATTGGAATAAGCATGGTCCTATCATATTTGAACCTGTGAGCGCGGTGGCACTGACAATCAAAACGATCATTGAACGCGAGAAACCCCAGCCTTTCTTCAGCTTGCCGCAGGAGTTGAGGGATCAAGTTTACGAATACGTAAGGCAGTCTGAACGCGCCGATGAGGTTCGGTTCACGGCCAAGGAGGGTCGAGAACCTCACACCAATGGCTTCGATGGAGCAATGCGGAGTGGCTAGGATGCAAAAGATGCTTTCCTAGGCCAGGTTACTTGATCATGGAACACTGTCACTCCAAAAACTCTACGGAGATCCAGGAGAGCTCAGAGGAATTCATGATGGTGCTGGCAAGACTGGGGTAGCTTACACGTCTTCAGACAGGCCTCCTCACCCCAGTGTTGAGAAAGTCAACTACATAAATCAGAGAATAAAGTGTGCATTTGCTGTTTTCATGGATCATCATCATAAGAACACTGATACCATATTTGCGCTTGACGAACCAATTTCTCCAGTCACGGCTTGTTCATAGGTTTACTTGTAGCAAGAAGGTCGAATTCCCTTCGCCTTCATTCAGAGGCCCTTCTCCCATACCACAAGATCATTCCATCATGAAGAGCCTGAAGTTCGAACCAGAAACGAGGCAGAAAGTCGTTCTTATCATGTGAATGCGTCGCCTCATCTGTCCCTGCATAAGAAAATTGGATGGGGACGTGAAGTTTCGCCGAGTAGAGCATCATTCTTGAGGCTCAAGTACTAAGGCGGCGATGTTGCCTGCGCGCAAGACATCTGGTCCGTTAGGGGGCCGAAGCATTCATTAGACTTTCTAGCCCTGTTAACTCGTAAGAAGAAGGGGCTCTGCTCTGGCTCAGCCAACACCGCTTCGACGTTCAATGTTGGATGCTTAGGCACAAATTACGAGCATGGCCTCGGCAAGACCTATGACAACTAAGACACTTTACAACATGTGAGGCAGTCAAGATACAGGCGCCTGGAAGAGATCCTCTTCGTGTGTGGTGGCAGGGCCTACCACACTAGGGTCCCCACCCTTGGACCTCCTACCGAGCTACTGCCGGCACTAAGCGTGTCAAGCTTTTTGAAAGCCACCCCTGCAACCGAACGCCACAGATACATTACGTTCCAACGGCTTTTATTCACTTGCATCGTTTCACTTCTGTGCCCATGGGTTCAAGGTGGCTTTCCACTCGCAATGTTGCCCATGGAGACGGTATCAGGAACTCGGACTTTGTGAGTACGAGTACCGTACAGTAAAGTAAGAACAGAGAAGACTGAAGACTACCCGTCCGCTTCTTTTATAACTTTGAGTGCAGGCCAAGCTCCGGGAAAGGCGCGATCACGTTCCTGAAGCGCCGTTTTAGATAAGGCCAGATAGGAGTAAATGCAAGGAATCATTCTTAGACTGCTCCCTCCGCATGGCGTGGCGTAATCTTAACGGGTTGAAAATTGGAGGAAAATGGAGGGAAATGGCTCATCAATACTTTCTCCATCTTTTTTGATGCAAGATACAGAATCTGATCATTGTTAAAGATTCTGCTGCCTCAAGACAACATACCGTACCTACTTTAGTGACACATCCGCGTAGAAGCGAATAAAAAGTAAAGTTGGCACTTGGCAAAGTTACGTAGTGCCAAGAATAGGGATTATAATTGTCCCTAACGGTCCGTCTGTCAACACGATCTCCAAAAACAGGATAACACCTTCTCAACAGAAGCTCTTTCCTACCTTTTCTTCCACTTTCCATCTTCCCCTCCACCTTCTTCTTCTTTCTTTCTTCTTTCCTCCACATCATATCACACTTCAAATCATACTCAACTCTCCGCAAATCTTGCTCTCACTACAAGGTTCGTACCACAGCCTCATCTTGCGCCATACGCTCCACATCTTCGGACTGAATACACTGACTCTGCTGTCCTCACAGAATCCAGTCAACTACACAGAAAACACGCGGTAAGTCCAACTCACATCATGCTCCTACTCACTATCAATACCTCGACACATTTTCAGCATCATCATAGAGCGTAGCAGCTAACAAAAATCCCCGAGGCCTCACAGATTAACTCACAGAAAAGATACCCCTCATTCAAAGACAGTAACGATGTCTTCTCAAACCATGGCCAACGGCGACAACTCCTCGCAGACAATTGATGTAAGAGCCTCTTCCAGCGTTCGTGAATGCATCACTGCCACTGCTCCACTGTTTCATCCTACGTTCCTCTCCAAACCTGGCTGTCGCCGTCAACGAGGCTGCATGCCACTCTTCTCTCACGTTCCCTTGCTAATGTGTCATTCTTTTCAGCACCTCACTTCCTACCCTGTCGTCTCCGACGCCATCTCGACATTCAAGTCAAACCCCTACGGCAAGAAGTCTCTCGACCTCTCCAACACCGGCTACGAGAAGCTCGTTGCACCCTTCGTCCCTTACGCCAAGCGTCCCTACGGTTATGTCGCTCCATACGTCGCTAAGGCCGACTCTCTCGGCTCCGACGCTCTCTCCAGAGTCGACCACACCTTTCCTATCGTGAAGGAGGACACCGAGAAGATCAAGGGCACCGTGTTGGACTACGCCTACTTCCCATTTCGCTTGGTTGGTGACAGCAAGAACTACGTCTTGGATACCTACTCTAGCGAATACAAAAAGTGCGGTGGTGATGGCTATGTTGCTGGTTCCAAGGCCATGATTACTACCGGCTTGGTGGTTACGAGCGATACACTGTCTTGGTTGAGCACGTTCTTGGGGCAGAAGAAGGAGGAGGGAACTGACTACGCGGCCAAGAAGTACGGCACAGCTTCCAACTACGCCCACGACAAGTCCGGTCAGGCGATGCAGTACGCAGAAGCGAAGTCTGAGCAGGCGAAGAATTTGGCATACCAAAAGAAAGAGCAGGGAAAGGACATGGCTGCAAATGCAAAGGACATGGCTTTCCAGAAGACAGATGAGGGAAAAGACATGGCTGCGAATGCAAAGGATACCACACAGGCTAAGGGAAACGAGGCCAAGGATACTGCACAGTCAAAGGGGAAAGAGGCCAAGGATACCGCCAAGGAGAAGTCCGGCAACAAGTAGGATGCCCATCTTATGTCGCCTGCTTTTACTTCGGCAAAGGATCACGAACGGCTGGCAAGGATGGACGGATGATGCTACGGTGTTGGGCGGATGATACCACTTAGACTACTAGCACGAATGGTGCGATGACTCTTCTCAGCTTTTCTTACTACTTTTCCTTCTTCGGTGCTGGCTTTATGGACTTGCTAGGGGTAAATAGACAATTGATCGATATGACATGCTAGCACAAAGTAGATAGACTGCAATGACTTCACAGCAGGAAATCTAACACTATCACTGTCCAATTATGCCATAATCTCGTTGTCATGGGATGTTTATCATTGAGCAAGTATGGATTCGACTGTCCGGCCCAGATCCCAAACTTTGCTGCCTCCAATCGTCACCAAGCTCTGACAAGCCTCGAATTACGACCCCCGTCACGAGGTCTAAGATAAAGTCCGAACCACCCATCCAGTCCATCATCGCAGCTAACATCGGCAAGACGCTGCTCTACCACAGAGCCGTCACAGCTAGCTAGCTAGGTCGGTCCGTCCATGCCAATGTCGTCTGCAATCTATCTAACAAGAAAATGTTGGGTCGAATCGATCAACGACTCCGGCATCCATGCGATGATACCTTCCCGTGCGCCCGACCCGTCGTGTCTGGCGTTGCGATTGGCATTATCCACGTCGCAAGACCCGGCGACGACGGGGTTTTTGGAGCGGCGGAATCAACGACGGGGTGCGATTTGTCGTCCGTGGCAGCATTCTGAACGTTTTCATCCCGGCACCGGACTCGGGGGTTGGGACTGGGTCCGCTGCGTCACGCTCGCCGTGTGGCCCGTGTGTTTGGGTCGGTGGAGACGGTCGGCTGGGTGGCTGGAGTCGTTGGTGGCTGGCGTGCTGGGATCGGGTGGGTTTGTTCGGGGGACGGGGCGGGGGTTTTGGGGGTCGGTGGCGCGAAGTTCGGGTGGTGGGTGGGTGGGTTGTGGTGGTGTTTGGGACCCGTAGGTCAGCTGCGGGATGGATTCGAGATGGCCGTGAGGAGGGGGCAGATGGAGTAGTCGTCCTGATCTCCTCGGTCTGTTTTGGGGAGCTTGGTCGGACGTTCAGGGATGTGGGACTTGCTCTACTGGCTAGACTCCTGTTGTGTTGTCTGATTCTTGAAAATGCGGACCGATTCGAGAGCTCGTGTTTGAGGTGCGGTATTTTCGATGCAAGCAGATGGACCGACCTCCGGCACCTGCTCGAGAGCTTTTTTTCGAGTGGGACTTTTTCGGTACAAGGAAGGAGTACTCGCTATCCGCCAAGATTGCACTCTTGTTCTCGGGTGTTGAGTTCGTAGGTATAGGGAGTCAGGCAGGGAAACCTAATGTCTGGATCTTCTTATCTTTATCGAACTTTTCGGAGGAGTGGTTTTTGTAGAAGAAGATCCTGCTTTCCTCATATACACACCAATTCATCGCAGCTGTTTACATTTGAGCACTCACCACTTTTCAACAAACATAGAAATCAGCTTCGTTCGAGAGCCTTATCGAAATATCTCAATCAAACTCCTTCCCTCCAAGTCAGAGTACCTTGAACAACGATAAACCACAACTTGCATCGAGGAATGATCGCAGCGGTCGGAAATCTCCCACCGCTGAGCCGCTAAAAGAACATAAAGGTATGGCACAACACGAATCGGACACTTCTCAATCAACATCAATCGGACATTCAGAAGCGTCAAAAGCGTCCACACCTAGCTCTCGTTCTCATAACAACAATGTCCATGATGGATGCGGATCATCGTCAGGTGCAGGGATAGAATAGAAGGTTTATCGAGGCCCATACGAGCCATGTGGGTATAGGGAGCCCTGGAGCAATGGAGTGCGTCCACAGCGCAGTAACTGCGCAATGAGCGGCCGCTATTGTTTCTATGAATCTTAGAATGCGATATGGAGAGGCTTTTTTGGGCAGTCCATGACGCCCGGAAACTTTGGAGGACGGAGCCGTCCACCAATTTGGGGAGGCTCTGAGGTTGGTTCTTGCAACGAGTATACGGAGGCGGTGAGGCAACGGTGTCATATCGATGTTGTCAGAGCAGGAAGCTCAATTCACATCAAAGCATCTATTCTTCTGTTGTCTCACCTCCACAAGCATATTTTGGAGGATAGTCTACCCTGACATTGAATGAAAATCGCTCAAAGTGAATCCCGTTGCTGTGACAGTTGCTAAATCCGTACCCAGAGGCAGCAGACCTTCCATTAGTAAATTTAGATGTAGCCTGACGAGTTCAGAGAAGGTAGGGATTTCCTGTCATTAAATCGCGCAAATGAAGCCAAAATAACATACAGCAGCTGCTCCACACATATTTTCATGGGAATGTTGGCCCTAGGGTGAAGAGGTGGAATCGATGATCCTTGGCGTCACCAAATATAGCACGACTTTGCCGACGCGACTTGTATCAGATGGAAGGAGCCGAGCATGGCTTGAGACTAGCGCTATAGGCAAGTCTTCCTCGGCTGTGTATGTATCAGATGGAAGGAGCCGAGCATGGCTTGAGACTAGCGCTATAGGCAAGTCTTCCTCATGGGCTGGTGGCCAGATGGTCGATGTGGTGAGGCTTTTTATTCCCCGTCTTTCAGATGGCATCGCTGCAGTGATGGGCTTGCTTCATTAGCCTGTAATTATCTACTGGAACATGGGCGCTGCGGCCACGAAGGAAGCCTTGGTCACGCATCACAAGAAAATAGCAGTGCTGAAATGACAATTGATTTTTCTTTGGAATGTAATGTTATGACAAGGTACTTTTGCCACTCAAATCATCAAAAGTCTCTCAATCTCAGCAGAATGAAAGAGAATGAATTTATGACGAATCGGAGACTTGCATTATTATCTACAAGCAATTGACTAGCATCTATCCGCCGTCTGCTGATCCTCTTACCTCACCATTCGGGGCTGTGTCTGCGCATCACATTTTCTCTCATCCGAGGGAGGAGGCACTTGGGAGAGCCTTGCTCTTCTTGGCATTAGGGCTGCGCTTACCCCGCGCTGGAAGCACTGGCGTCAGTTCGTGCTATCAGCCTACCTTACTTATAAAGACCCATCAAGCACGTCAAGACTGAATTATCCACACTCACTACGCCACGTACTCGTATCATCAAACTAGTACTGCCATTATCCTTCTCACCTTCTATAAATCTCAATCTTCATCCCATCATCCATACATCTTTCACGCATCCCACACCACGTCTTCCACACGCAGCCTTGTCGCCTCCTCCTCTACAGCTTCGGAAACAGATACAGGTTCTCCACCGATGGCAGCCATGGACAACGGAAAAGCTCCCCTCCCCGCCAACGGAGCCTTTCGCAACGGTGCACCAGGTGGCGAAACCAATACCAGACTGATCAACGTCCAGCCGCCTCGTCGTGAGGACCTCCAGCCAGCTTACGCCCAAACACTGCAGGGCGAGAGCGAAGATGCTGGCTCCCATGGCTGGTATGGATCCATGAGTATGTTGCCACCCTTCATACCTCATTTCAATCTATTAACAAGCGCTTAGTCAACACCCTCGGTTCGCTCGTCGGTTGCTGCGGTGCCATCCCGTGCTGCATCGTTTGCCCCAACCCATACAAACCAGTCAGTCAAGGAAACGTCGGTCTGGTCACCAAATTCGGTCGCTTTTACCGCGCCGTCGACCCAGGTCTGGTGAAGATCAACCCTCTGTCGGAGAAGCTCATCCAGGTCGACGTAAAGATTCAGATCGTTGGTAAGTCAAACCTCCTTACCCATAGCTCAAGCTGGGTTGCTAAGATTTTCTACAGAGGTGCCAAAGCAAATCTGCATGACCAAAGATAATGTCAACCTGCAACTTACCTCCGTCATCTACTACCATATCACCTCGCCACACAAGGCCGCCTTCGGTATCAGCAACATCCGCCAAGCTCTTGTTGAGCGTACTCAGACCACTCTGCGCCACGTTGTTGGCGCCCGTGTTCTCCAAGATGTCATCGAGCGCCGTGAAGAGATTGCCCAATCCATCGGTGAAATCATCGAAGATGTCGCATCAGGCTGGGGTGTCCAGGTCGAGTCAATGCTCATCAAGGATATCATCTTCAGCACCGAGCTTCAAGACTCCCTCTCCATGGCCGCCCAGAGCAAGCGTATCGGAGAGTCCAAAGTTATTGCCGCACGCGCCGAAGTCGAGAGCGCCAAGTTGATGAGGCAGGCCGCCGATATCTTGAGCTCGGCTCCAGCCATGCAAATCAGATACCTGGAGGCTATGCAAGCCATGGCGAAGACGGCAAATTCGAAAGTAATCTTCTTGCCCGCGACGAACCAAACCGTGCAGCAGCAGCTTGCGCAGGCCGATACCTACGGTGAGGGCCCAAGCAGCCAGGGTCAGAGCTCGAAGTCGTCGACTGGGCCATTCATGGGTGATACCAATGATGGATTCCAGCAGGCGATGAACGCGAGGGTCATCGAGAACATCTAGACGCTCGCTGCGATAGTCGCTTAGGTGTTGCAAGGAGATGATCGGTATTCTGGGCTGGATAGGAAACGGGGCAATGGTCTTACTTCCTTCAGCGGGCTCGATTATACCCTCGTTAACAGCCGGTCATATACCCCAAATTGTCTTTGCTTTTAGTCTAGTCCGATGGTTTAGTATTGTTCTCTACTTATATGCTTCCGAAAGATGCACCAAGTGATCTCATTTCCTATCTCAACGCGCCGAGAAGTGGGCAAAATTCTTGCTGTGTGGTCTCAAATCGAAGCCACACTCCGTAATTCAGGAGCAGAAAGCTCCTTTCTTCCTCGAGGTTTGTCTTGTCACTTTGGTGAAATGCCGTGATTAAACAGCGAAAGCAACGTTCTGCTCTTTTAAATGTGCCTCGTTTTCTCAATTTCTTACCTAGAAGGGACGACACCGACTCCAAAATCTTTGGGTCTTAGAGGCCGTCAGTTTGATACATCATTTGGGCAAACGGCCTGTTGGTTGGGGAGTCTCCAAGGCTTGAGAGACTGTTATTTGGCGAACGTTTTGGGGATCGCCCTACTACGGTTTGGAAATTCTAGAGCTCGAGAGCTAGCGTTTGGCACTTTGTTTGGGGATTTGCCCGTGGGCTTGTAACGATTTGACAATCTCAACGCTTCAGTCGCTGTCCGAGACATGATTCAAAAGAAACGTGTGTTTCTCTCTTCGCTAAGGGGACTGCTTCGCTCTGTGACAGCTGCACAGCAGAGATCCCTATTCGCTCATGGAGTACATCTAGTCGCTCATGCCAAAAGCCAGTGCTTGCCCGTCCTTTGCTTGTCTAAAAGCTCTACACAGGCTTGTGCCTATTTGGTCTAACAAATGATGCTACTCAACTCTATCCTCTTGTGCGGTCTTACTGCCGTCCGCTATTCTTTGGATGATAGATTCTCCACCGTTGGTACCGCCACCGTCACTGCGAAATACAACTTCTTCCATCATCTTTCTCCCATGCGCCCTCTTTAATCCTTTGCCCGGACCAGAGACCTTTACCGGTCAAGTTACGACGGCCGGCAGCACCACCTACTACCCCTTTTATGAGTTGGGATTTTCCTTCTTCGATCCAATCAATGCACCACACACGGTTGGCGAGTAAGACCTCGTATACATCTTCTCTGCCTCGGCAGCTGGTACCCGATATGAATATGCCACAGTAAGTTGACCGTAACATACCCCGTACTCCACTATTCTTGAGATATACTTATACTGAACCTGACTTTAATGAAGCCACCGTGAGCTGCGGTCCCACTCACGGCTGTGGAACGGTGGCGTGCAAGACGTTCTATCCTGGCACCGCGGCCACCAACGGTTTCATTGGCCCTTCATACTGGGAGATTGACAATGCCGAGTCGTCTATATCTCGCTTACTTCACCTCCACAGAGCCATTTCCCGCGGCCAAAACGACCGCCGCCGCAACATCTACCTTCTCTGGTCCCACAGCTGCGCCTTCTTCCACGGTGGCTCTCAGTCCTCAAACCAAAGAGGGTGTTGAACTGGGCGTGTCTTTGGGAGTCTGCGCCTGCGCCTGGCTAGGAGTCTTGGTTCTTCTTCGGTACCCTCGGCGTAAGCAGCAATCTCGCATTGGACGTATGAGCTCTGTGGCAGATCCTAATGATGTTCCTGAGGCTATCGAAGATAAGTCGACAGCAGGGAGTAGCAATGGGGAGGGCTCAGATGGTTTCTCTGAGCTCCACGGGGCAGAGGTGAACGGCTATCAGAATGAGTTGGAGGGGTCAATGGCGGAAGGAAGGGAGGAGCTTCCTTAGATTCCTGCTGTATGTCCTTCCTGTAATATTGGTGAAACCAGTCGGTCATCGGTGAGCTGAATTAGCGTCGGCGCCTTGAATCTGCGGTATCTTGAGCATTTCCCGAAACATTCTTTACATCTCGTTCCACATTGTTTTTACCGCAACCCGATCAGGTCTGCACTTTGCGCTTTTGGGTCTTGTCATCTGTGCGTATTCGCTTTCTGGGATGAGAAGAGGAGGTGGTAAGACCGCGCTATCGGTATGATCCCGAGACATGGTCCGAAAGAAGATGTCAATACGGCCATTCTCGCCATGCTTTCCAGTCCCTTTTGGTTCTTTTAAGAGAAGGGGGGTCGTCTTGTCGTTTACAGCTTCAGAGCTCGAGCATTCCTTTTTCCAGTATTGTTCCAAGCCTTCTACATTATGGAGAAGATGGAGATTGTCGCCACTAGCTTGTCTGTTCTTCTTGCTCTCGTCGCACCAGGTTCAGCTCAAAGCACCCAGTCCACCACCTACTACGATATCGAACGGATTACAACTACAATCTTTTTACCATCCGCTCTCTTCTCACCGTCGCCTACACCTCAGAGTTTCTTTGCCTTCGTCGCCACGTCCAGCGGCACTACCTCCTACACCTTGTTTGAGGACGAAAACACATCCGGGAATGCTACGATCAACTTCCTCCCGGCCCAACAATATGAACAGTACAACGACTACGGATACACCTTCTCCGCCTGCCCGACCGGTACCCAGTACGTGCTGCCAAAGCAAAAGTAAGAACCTCCGAAAACCATTCCCCGCGCACACGCGCACACTGACCGGTCTCTGCTAGCCTCACCATCAACTGCCTGTCCGTCACACCGGCCAACACCGCCATTTGCACAACCACGTCGCTCAACCTCGACGAGGCTAGTCTCCCTGCCTACACCACTCTCGCCGAATCCTCCCTCTACCCCGCGACTTTCCAAATCACAAACGCGACGGCACTACCACCGCGTCTTACTCTCGCCACCAAGATGGGCATCGGCCTCGCCGTGCCTCTCGGTCTCTGCCTCTGCGTCGTCGTCGCCCTCTTGATCTACCGGCACCGCGAGCACAAGCACATCTCCCGCATGAAGCACGCGGCTGCGGTGGGACAGGTCCCCATTGCTGCCGAGACGAAGGACGCGAGGTTCGTCCTCTCGGGTGGAGACGGAGGGATCGCTGGGGTTGCGGCGTCTCGTGATGGTGGGACGGGTGGTATAGGGGGGTTTGTTGAGGGTGTTGGAGGGGGTTATGGCGTTCGGGTGAGTGAGGTGTCGGCGTTCACGAACGAGTTGGACGGGTCGGGGAAGGATGGGAGGAAGGAACTTGCTTAGGTTGTTGCTGTCTACTGCGTTGAGGATGGCCTGGTACGGCCACATTTAATACAATAGGAGCTTTGATCAGCGAGTCCTCTAGCAAGTTGTATTGTTTATTTTGTTTTGCGACTACCGATCGGGTCAAAATCCTTGGTATACAGTTTGAGAGCAGCCTGCCCGTGAAATGATGGTGAGATACATCCATGAACTGCTTCCGAGACACAGCCCGAACGAGGGCATGGGGCCGCTCTTGATCGTTAAACAGCCCCTCAAAGAAGCCCCGTCTTTTCCATTCCACAATTCTGTGCTGTAATATGATAACCACTAGTGCGAGGTCTCAACCCTTTCCGCTGTTCTAGGTCGCCTCCGTCCTTTCCCTGAGATAATTGGCAAAAGATAAAAGCCTCCCCGACCTCATGTACAAACCCCCCAACAACCCATCTCCCGGCAGCAAAAACGGAATGGTGAACCATGCTGCCACCGCCATTCACGCTCCAGTTGACCCTCCAACTCACCCCACGTTTTACCTCCATGGCCGTCTCAGCTCCAGGCCCCTCACCCACATCTGAGGTCACGAGTCTGGATTCGGCACCTCAGTTCACGGTGGCAGCCATGCAATCTTCCGCCATGGTTACGGTCGAAGGGGGTGTGCGACCAACAGCCACATCGACACCATCTACCACCACCACCACCATCACCACCACATCATCCACTACCCCAGCAGCGCCATCTCCTCCCACCACCGCAGCACCATCCACCGCCACGGCACCCCCCTGCTCCCCACACCTCCGTCGCGTCCGAGCGAGCATCCGAGCCTTCTCAGCCCCCAGGGCAAACGAGGAATCCGGTTGGGCGTACCCGTTCGCCATCCGCATATGCGCATTGCTCGTGCTATCGCTCCTTCGGTATCGGCAGAACAGGCAGCGATCTCGTTCGAGGCACGCAGGCGGCGAGAATGCTGGTAGCTGGGACACCACTGCTGTAGGAGGCGAGGGTTGGAGGCCACCGATACCCCCACCCCACGGCCTCGGGGGTCCCGTCTCGGCGGGTCCTCGATGGATGCGGTTGAGAGCTATGGGATGGGGATACGGGTATAGTCGGGCGAGGGGGAGGGGTCTTTGAGCGGGCGTGAGCATAGGGCTGTGATCTGTGCGTGGGATGGAGTTGGAGGGATAGGGGAGAAGGGGGATTGGAGAGCGGGATGCGGTTCTTGAAAGGCCGGGCTTGTGGTTGATGACACGCTCTTCCCGAGACTTGATAGTTGATGGGTATATATTTGGCGTGAGTGGAGCGTAGTAGCGAAAGTGATGGTGGTGTTCTAGATCGGCCTCTATTGACTCAGCGATTAGAACGAGCTTTCTTTCCTGTATCACCGCACCGGAGCAATGGCATTCACCTGTTGAAACAGAAATTCAATTAACCATTCCATCCGCAACTATTAAAACTTCTATTTCGCGAACTTTGCACTGGCGTTCCGAGCTACGGATAGTCTCTCATCTCGTCGCCATCTTCAACCCTGCAGCTCCATTGAATACACCGGTGGCTGCCTGCCCTGCATCTTGTTCGCCAAAGCAGTATCCGATATCCTCTTTCCCTCAAGCTCCATGGCGAGGCCCCCCACTGATGCCATGTTGCCCATCTGGCTTAGACGCGAACGTTCCTTGTGCTTGGCGTGCCGATAGAGTAATAGAGCGAGGCCGGCGAGTACACAAGCGCCGAGAGGCACACCGAGACCGGTACCTACTTTGGCTGCGGTTCCGTGTGTTGCTGATGAGGCAGGTCCAGAGGTCGGTGAGGGCATTGGATTGGTGGGCATCCCCCGAGGCATTGCCGTGCTGGATGCAGCGTTGTTGGAGCTGGAAGTGAAGAAGAATGGATAAAGTGTGGACTCCGGGCCTACTATGATAACAGTGCTGTAGATAGCATTGCTGGCAGACTCATCCGCCGTTATTTCATCTTCAGGGTCTTCTATGTTGCTGAGGTAGGTGCTGGTGCAGGAGGCGATGTTGGCGTAGCCGACGGGGCCGCAGTGTATGGTTATTCTGTTACAAGTAAGCATATCATGCATGCCCAAAGTCTTAGACTTTTGCTCAGGAGGTACTTACGCCTGCTGGAACGCTTGTAGAGAGTTGGACCCGTCGCTTTTTGCTAGGCTCACGCTGGCAGGGTCAGCATACCTAGGGTGGATTCGTCGGAGATGAGAATTTGAGGCTCTCACCTAGAAAGGACGTAAGCAGTGGTGGAAGAAATTGCTGAGAACGTGTAGCCATTATAGCGGCACTGGCCCCCTTGTCCCACGAAGTTTGTGAATTCATAGTTGCAGTCCAAGGTGTAGTAGGTGGTACCAAGGGAGGTCGAAATTTGGCCGGTGAATGTCGCTCCAGTAGGCTCGGGGTTGAAAAGCCAAGCGGGCAAGAGTATGTTTGTTGAGACTATGGACGCAGAGGCACGGCCGACGAGGGCGATGACAATATAGAAGACAACTGCAGTAATATCCATCGTCTTATAGGTGCACAATTTGTCTGCTCTTTGGCAGATCGAGAATCCCAATGTAAGCGTAAGGCGACAAAAACAATCGGAGTTTGATGGGGGGCAGAAATACTCGGTTAGGGGACTTGGCTGGCAAAGATATAACATCAACGAAAAACAATCTCCGCGGACAATACAAGCTCTTAAAGAAACAGGAGGTCGGAAAAGAAAAGCCCGTTCATATCCTTTTGGGATTTGTTTCGGAAGCAGCCAATAGCATGGTCTCAGTTACCCTTTCAGCGAATCGTTGGACGCCGATGGGTATCTGCATATTGAACCTTCCAACTGACGCCGTTTGAGAAACGTCCCATTGACCTTCTGGTTCCATTCTGGCTTGATCATCGATCGGGTACGATAAGATCTAGGCGGTTCTTAGTAGACAAATTTGTAAGAAGCGAACTGGTGGTTGCAAGGGGAATGGCTCGATATCTCGGGAAGAAAGCCAAAGAAGGTAACAGCCTTCATGAGATATAAGGCTCAGCCAAGATGACTAGAGCGTGAAAACCGCTTCGCAGCGCCGGTCTTTTATTCTAGCATGGAAGCCTGGTTAGTATACAGCGTATCCACCACATTGCTCAACTTCTCTATCGTCTCCAGTGCCGCATCGTACCCCTGGTCCCGCTCCGCCTCATCATACACGATCAAACATCCCGCTCCTTGATCCAATACCCCAATGATAACTCTGTCCAGAATCATCTGAGATAGCTTCCTCTCGACTTGCTGCGTATCCAACCCAACCATCTTCGCGATATGGTCAATTTCCACTCTGCTGAACGGCTCGATGACCTTGATCAGGTTCTGCTCCAACATAGAATCGTAGAGCCGTTTGAGGTGGTTTCGGATGAAGACGTCACTGCCGAGTTCGTAACGATAGTTTGCCAGAGCTTTCTCGTAGTCTTCGAGGCTTCGGTTGGAGTGTGCACGTGCGACTGCCTTCATGGCTTCCAGATTCTTGCCGGAGTACTTCATTGCTTGCTTGGATGTCATAAGATTGTTTACATCATCCGCGAGATTTAGCATGATCTTGCACAGCAGCATGTACTGTAGCGCTGAGGTTGCTTTTTGTGTCTCTTCTTGTGAGTGGTAGCCCTCCAGCGCTTCGATGAAATAGGAGAATGCGGTGTTGAAGTCTTTATCCTCGGCGTGAAGCATGCCAGATTGCATGTCAAGTCCAGCTTGCAGTAATGGTGGGGTATAGACTGAAGCTGCAGAGGTTCGTGCAGATGTAAGAGCAGCTCGTGCTTTTGGTTGGTTGCCAAGGGCGTGGTAGACTCTTGATTCGAGGAGCTGGACTTCGACGAGGACTAGCTTGTCGTCTAACCGTTTCAATTCCTTGAGAAGGCCGTTGATTAGTGTGAGAGCGTCGTAGTATGATTGTTTTTGCATGTATAATGAGACGAGGCGAGTTTCAAGATTCTGACGCAGGAAGCTGCGGCGTTCGGAGATGGCCCATTCGATACATGATTTGGTGACGGAGATCTGAATGTCGACGGTATTCGGAATAGATGAAAACAGGTCGAGTAGTTGACGCACTGCCCTTTGTTAGCACAGCACCGGGTCTAAATAGACTGGATTTCTGTACCTAGCTTGGCGGTCTTTGCCTTCGTGAAGGACGAGAGAGATGATGTGCTTGATCTGACGAGCTCAGCCAGCTCGTCAGTCTTCCTTGTATCTCTATATGACTCTCCCAAACCCATCAAAGCCAACTCATATTCTCGCAAAGCTGCTTCGCTTGCTCCAGGTTTCTTAGAGAGAATCTCCTTGTAAATAGCCTCAGCTTTCAACGGATCAGTCTTTCCCAGCTTCTTTGCTTCTTCTACTCTGGCTGAGTCTGTCGGAGCGGGAGCCATGGTGGGCTACTGAAGTAGTTCAGTGAGATTTGTCAAAGAGAAAGAGTCGATGACCAAGTGAAGAAGATGATCGATGTTGATGTTCAGGAGCTTCGTGAGCTGGAGAAGCTGGCAGCCCTATCGGCAAAACAGCGGTGAATTGCGGGCAAAAAGTTCCCACCTCGAACCTCCAGTGGTTCCATTTCTTGCAGCCAACTCGGACCATGAGAGTCATGCCAATCATCTGCGTTCCCTGACCGACAACTTTGAAAGTCCTCTGTCTGAAAGATAGGATCCTGACCTTTTGCGAAAATGGTAATGCAAGCCCGTAGCTTGAAATTCCCACTTTTCTTGTGCTCTTGACTAAAGCCTGTAACAGAAAATTAAGGCGCTCACACGACCAACCTCGTCCCACCAGGCCCCTGGGTCTTCTGCCGCCCGCCAGCCCAGGAATCTTGATCCGGCACTGCATCCATTTGAGCGGGCGAGAGAATATTCGCGAGCACTCAATGCCACCAAGATTGAAAGAATGTTTGCGAAACCCTTCGTGGGTGACTTGGGAAAAGGGCACGTAGACGGAGTCTATGTTATGTCAAAAGATCCCGAGAGACTGGATGTCTTCGCCTCTGGATCGGGGGATGGTGTAGGTGAGTTTCAGTTACGCAATAAGTTGTTGTGTTAATTCTCAAAAGAATCCTTACTTACAAAATCGGGTGGGTAGTAAAAACCTGGGACTTGACCAGTAGGGAAGAGACGTTCAAGGCGGATGGACATGAAGGTATTGTCAAAGGGCTCTGCTGGACAAAAGATCAAAGACTTCTGAGCTGTGCCAGTGATAAGACTATCAAGCTGTTCGACCCTGCAAATACAAACTCTAGATCGGTGCCCTTAGCGACATACCTCGGGAACACCGCATTCACTGGCATCTCACACCATAGGTCCTTGCCCAACTTTGCGGCTTCCTCTTCGGCCATAAGCATCTATGATCTCTCACGCTCTTCTTCGACGCCTTTGCAGACGCTGCATTGGCCTAATTCGACGGATACGATCAATGCCCTCAGCTGGAACCAAATCGAGACAAGCGTCCTAGCTTCCTGCGCGACGGACAGATCCATCATCCTCTACGATCTACGTACCTCCTCACCACTTTCAAAAGTCACCTTAGCCCTGGCATCAAATGCCATAGCCTGGAATCCAATGGAAGCCTTCAACTTCGCCGTTGCCTCAGAAGACCACAATATCTATATGTTTGACATGCGCAAGCTAAAACGAGCTCTCAACGTCTACAAAGATCACGTCGCGGCAGTCATGGACGTCGAATTCAGCCCCACAGGCCAAGAACTCGTCAGTGCATCGTATGATAAGACGATTCGCCTCTGGGACCGCGCGGGCGGGCACTCTCGAGATATCTACCACACCAAGAGAATGCAGAGAGTTTTCTCATGCAAATTCACACCCGACGCAAAATATGTACTTAGTGGCTCAGACGACGGCAATATCCGCATCTGGAGAGCCAATGCTTCTGAGCGCTCAGGCGTCAAATCTGCTCGGCAACGGCAGAAGCTCGAATATGACAACGCGCTAAAGGACAGGTATGCTCATATGCCTGAAATCCGGCGCATTAAGAGGCACAGACACGTCCCGAAAGCGGTCAAGAAGGCGGGCGAAATTAAGGGGGAGGAGCTGGCGGCGATCAAGAGGAGGAGAGAAAATGAGAGGAAGCATAGTAAGAAGGGGTCAGTGCCGAGGAGGAGTGAGAGGGAGAAGATGGTGTTGGCAACAGAGCAATAGATGGCACGGATGAGGGGAACAAAGACCTTGAGATGTACCAAATGATGGGGTGAAGGCGTTGGAGTCACGTCAGGGTGATCTTCGAAGGAGCTGCAATCGATCCTTGGTATCGGTATGTGGCCCACCGTTAGAGGTCCTCACGTGGCGAAGAGGCTGTCGTGACACTGCCCAGCATGAACGCAAGAGCTGCAGCAATCAAGCGAAAGGTGGCTAAAGACCTAAGGCAAAACACCCTGAGAGCGTCTGAACGCCTACAAGCGAGCGGAACGCAAGATGCACTGCGCGGAGCCAACTTGTTTGCCAGGCTTCCGATGAGCCTGTTACTGCTACGTCCGGCAAACATCTCAAAGGAATCAGATACCAAGCAATCTGATTCTCTTATGTATAAATCGATGCGTAATTGAGTATGTTTGTCGAATGTTGTCGTCCGGCTCTTCACTCAGCTATATCGGTATCGAAAAGGAGCGCTGCTTTGATTCACTGACTGTCCAGGGTCAAACTCCGCTGCCAGCTACTGTAATAACAGGACAAGGCACTGGCTGAAGGCGCAGCCCCAGTACCATCCCATTTGTAATAGAAACCTGGGCTGGCATCTGGTCGAATCGGGTCGAGACCAGTTTTACTGTTGCGCGTACGAAGGTTGACACCGCCCGGCCTAAAGGATTGCCCGGACACTGCGCATAAAAATGCTTGGGGAATGTACCTGGCCTGAGCCTAGCTTAGGCCCAAGCCCCTACCGGACCCCAAAAGAGTTACCTAAGTTGAATCTGTGCGCTCCAAGGAATCTCTTCTCAGCTGGGGTCTCTCGCTACGGGGCTGTGTGACTAGTGCTGTCCAGGACTTTCGGTTGTCAACCTCCGTATAGAAGGATCTTGATACTTCTCAAGCGACATGCGCTTAAAGCGTTTCAGAAGTGACATGCGCTGCTTGTTCTGCGGTTCACAATCGAATCGAAAGGCTCATTCGTCTGGTTATACATCATTTCTGATTGTCACGGCTCTGGTAGCACGTTGTCGAGAACGCTTTGATGCGTTATGAGTATCAGATTTAGGGTAGCAGATACTTCAATTTTTGTCAAACGGTTCTGACTTACCGTTGTTTCGGACCATCATCTCTGGGTGTCCACCTGCCCTCATCGTTTTCTCGTTATATAATCCCGAGTCTCGTCTAATATGCCATTTCTCAACTCATCGTTCAGGTACAAGAACGTCTGATACAGAGAACATCGCACCAGTCATTACTTCATCTCATCGGCGTCCAAACATGCTCACTCAACATCATCTGACAGCGGTAGCCGCCATCATATCCTTCGCCCATTTCATCAACGCTATTCCCACAACATATCCGCCGTCCCCGTACGCCCAATCTGTCCTCTACTCCTGGAGTACTGAACCCGTTTGCACCACCACCGCTAGCGAAACCGACTGTACAACAGCTTACGCCGCTCTCTGTGCCCGCGCAGAACTTGGTGTAAGCGACAACACGACCGTGGGAGACTGTACGGCCTTCTACTGGTACGACGCTGGGAACACAATTCCAACAGCCGCTGAATGCACCGCTGCGTACACACAGATCCTCGCGGTATCGATTGGAGGAGCGTTAGGGTACAATGTCGAAAAGTCAAGGACTAATGATCCTCTTTACGCGATATATCCGAAAGACGGAAATGCAAATTGCTTCAAGGCGGCAGGGGATACCTCGCCAGTACTGGCAGTGGATGCGTTACCTAATGGAGGAGGAACTCTCACGACATGTCCCGTGAGCACGAGTCGACGACGGCGGGCTATAGAGGTGCTTGAGGGCCGGGACGAAAATCAGAACGACGGTGTGATTGAGTGTGCCATTGAGGACGGGGTGTGGAATGTTGTCTGCACGGGCGTTTGTCTCGCGGCGGTTACGTCTACGTCTTGGATGTAAGTTCTAAATCCAATAAACCCCAAAACCTCAGATCTTCCTATGACTGACAATAATTTCTCCTGGAAAGCACTGGACCATTCGTTGCTGCCGGGTGGCTAGCTTGTTTGGGGGGGTGCGGTGCTACAGCGGCGAAGGTATTCAACAACTGCGAGAAGGCGAAGGGAAATACAGACCCAGATGAACTTCTTCCACTGAACCCCTTTGGGAAGCGACAAGAAGCGACCGAGTCTTCCAATCCATGTGTCAACATCAAGAATTGGTCGTACCAATGCCCGACTCAAGAGACGGAACTCTTGAGTGTATTTTCTTGCCAAGGTACTATCAACACGTAAGCGTTGGGCGTTGAACTACTGAGTATATCGGTCGTATGGCAATTTGTATAGTGTGTAAATCGAAGGCCGAAAAAATTCCCAAGAGTTCTTGGGCATATACGATGCATCGAGAAAGCATCCAGACTTCGGGGTGCATGATATCACTGTTCAGCAAGGCGCTTGGTTCTTACTTGCTGGCAGTATGTCCGCCCCTCCTTTTATAGTTTTTCTTCGCACATTCTACGCAAAGATTCCCTCTACTTTCAAGTTTGCGGGCAAATAGAATCCTTTGTCTGGATACCTGGGCTGAGTCCGTGTCATGAATCAAGGCGTCTTTCATCAATGCACCAACTTCCCTACCGTGTCGTTCCGCGACCGGGAATTATCGACCCCATTCTCAAATGCGACCGAAGACGCCGTGTGGGCGAAATAGTAGTGTTTTCGTAATGGAGTTATCTTAAAAAGGCGTGAGCGGATGAGCAAACATGGAGCGAATGCGAGTGCTTGCCATTTTGAAACAAATATAAGCCAAATCGACTTCTTTGCAAAGAAGTCCAGCTGAGTAAGGCGACGCTAAAGATTTCAACAACATGAGCTCGGCTTCAGTCCTCATGCGCAGATAAACAAGTGGAAGGTTCGAAGATGAAAGTGAGAGGGGTACCTGGATACGATAGTAAACAAAATTCAATACCCACAGTTCGTTTGACGGTAGCCATTCAGACAGGAAGTTTTTCAAAAGGCCAAACAGAATCCAAACAACATCGCTAATGCTCTTCCCTCGTCAACTCCTTCAGTTTTGCATCATCAAGCTTATTTCGCTCACTCATATCACTCAATCGTCAGCCCACTAAACCGAACCTCGAGCTCCTCACTCGGATCCGCCTGCGTAGGCGTCGGCTTCGCAGCATAAACACCAACCCGGCCCCCCCTCAAAAGCCCAGGTAATCTCCCTTATCGGCCTCCTCCTCCCGCCATCCTCAACGAGATAAACCCACAAGCTCGGCTGATCCGTCTCCGGGATCGCTTCCCGTGCGAACTCCACAGTGACGGTATCAGACCCAACCTCCACCGAGCTCCAGTCCGCCCAGTTATCCTTCGCGACCACGGTCGCGCAGGCCCGGCCGTCGAAGAATTCGATGCCGGCCTTGACCCACTTCTTTTCGCCGTCGGCGCGCGGGCGCGCGAAGAGGAGGCCGCCTTGGTCGTAGAGGGTCTTCCAGGGGGCGGAGACGGTGACGCGGATGCGGTGGAAGTGGGTGAGAGTGAGGGTGCGGTGGAGGATGGGGGGGGGGGGGGAAGGCGTTGTGGGTGGGGGGCTCGCGCCAGATGTCTGTGGAGGGGGGGCGGTGATTGTGAAGTTTGAGGTGGGGGTGGAGGGGGGTGGGGAGGTGCTGTTGGTGTATTGGAATCTCATTTTGGAGGGGTTGGGCGGGGACGCGGGGCCTTGGGGGTTAGTAGGTATTTAATTCGTAATAGGTTCGATTCCCATTGGCGCTGGTACAATGGTGTTGCGGTGTTTTTTATTTTCTCTTGGTGTGAGAATGGGGACTAGAGGACCCACCAGGCTTGGCTATTCCGGGAAGGTCGTTGGGATTGTTGTTTTGACCTTGCGTGGAATTTCGTCAAGCTGTTTGGGTTTCAGATGTCCTTCGTGTAGGCATCAGTGATAGCAGCTGCAACGAAGAGCGGAGCGCAGGATATCTGGTATCAGCCGGGCGTCGGAACTGCCAAGGTCTCTGGACTTTACGAGTTCATCGCCATGTCGCTGCTGAATAGCACAGGCTTGGTCACGAACATCGAAGAGGCTTACAGGGTCCTCTGCGAGAGATATCGCCCGGGCGATTCCATCTACCTGATTGGTTTCTCACGCGGCCATTCACGGCTCGCAGTGTTGCAGGTCTCGTTGGGAAGCTCGGGCTTTTGAAGGAGAAGCAAACCGGGTCTGCTGGAGAAAGTCTTCGAAGACTACGAACATATGTGCAAGGACGAGTATCCGCAGAAAGTTGGACCGGACCGGGACATGAGGGGTGAGCATGGAACTGCATATGCAACGAGGTTGGAGAAGGCAATGACTTCTCTAATCTTGGCCTGCTACCCCCAGACTAACACGGACTCAACGCTTACAGCAAGATAGGAGGGGCTTACGCAGTGAGGGGTTAACATCGAAGCAGTTGCAGGTTGGGAAACTGGTGGTAAGTTAGCAATATACGTTACCCCTATCTGGTTCTCGCCTTTCTCTCGGCATCCCGACCGCCGGAGTCTGTAGTGCGTGGCCTTTTTCATCCCGGTGGAAAGACTATGCTTTCCACAACACGAAGTTTGGCAACCATATTAAGGAAGTCGTCTTCGGGGAATCCCTCATCCTCTCCGTTCCTTGGGAGAGGCATTCCTTTTCCGAGGACGGCGCCTTCGGGAAACATTCTAGGTACCTGATCAAGCCTACATTTGCCCGGTCGGAATGTCCAAGGTCAAATTTCTCGGCGTCTTTGTTGATCTGCTTCTCGAACTGATTCCTCGCGATGGGGCTAAGATTGACATTCAGTCCCTATTGAACAAGTTGGCATAAAAATCCTGATCTTCTACTAACATAACCAAGACGTCAAGGAAATCAAGCACCAGAAATGGGTCGGCAAACGACCGATGTTGGAATGCGTGCCTTTTCTTGGTGGCCCGCGGACATGCCGGGCGCAGTAGCACGTCCTGACATACGCGGTATACGTGCTTGTACGACTGGTGAGAGATTTTTCCGGCATGGAGAACAGAGATCCAACGCAGGAGTAAGTGCAGCCCAAAGTGTGCCGGGGATGAAGCTTCCTTCACTGTTCTATCAGCTTTTAGAATTTTCGTTTGGGCTTTGAAGATGTGGAAGGGAAGAAAAATATAGGAGGGTGAACTGTATACACGAAGTACACAAAGCTTTGTGTTCCGCATACCAAACAAAACGCCAGTCTATCCCAACGCCCGTTCTCTCATCATCACCAACCCTATGAAAGCCAACAATCTAGTATCTATTCTTTCCTTTCCCCTCTTTCCCGTTCATAATCTTGCCTGCCTTCTTCGCAACAAAGCCGTCTCTTAAATTGTAGAGGTGCGTCTTCCAAAGTCTCCTTCAGAACCCACTTCGCTGCGATATCACCGTCGTTGTACTCGACCCGGTATTCCGTGTAATGCGGCTGGCCTCTCGGGGTTCTGATGATTTGTCGAAGAATCCTGGTGGGGATTTCTTGTGTGCTAGATGTAGGCGTTGTAGGAGTAGTGACGGGCTCGGTAATGCCATCAATGGTGTTTGGCGGCTGGTCGGTAACCGGAGTCGAAAGCGCATCGATCATCTCGATGTGCTCATCCTGATTAGAAGCAGCAGGGACGTCATCTCCCCCAGCTGGGACACCATTCCCCTCTACAGGGACGCCAACTTCTCCAGCAGGTACATTGTTTTCCCCAGCAGGGACACCACCACCCCGCATGCGCCTCACTTTCTTGAACAACAGCGCCACCAAATTTCCAACCTTCAAAGTACCCTTCAACAGCAAAGCCTCAATTTGTTTTGCCGCCGCCCCCCCAAATACCCGCGTAAGCCACTTGAACAACTTCTCTCTCGTCTCAGGCAGCAGCATCCAATTGTTTAAACACCTGAAGATGACCCACTTCACCAACGTACCCTCCAACTCACTCCCATTCAGCGCGTCGGCATCGGGTATGCCATTTGGGGACTGAAGCGCAAAATGCGCGCAGATGCAGGCGGCACAAGGACCCAGGGAGCAGACCACGGCATTTGCGGGGTTGAGAAGACGACGGCCGAGTCCTATGCAGTCGATCGCTTTCATCTCGAGGATAAGATTTGTGCAAATTGTTGTGCGGTTGCCGGTCAAGGGGCAGATTGTTGCTGCTTCCGTGGTAAGCAAGGCGCAGGAGTCTATCAATGGGGTACTGTTTGCGGAGGTGAGGTAAGCGGAGGCTTTAGGTAGGGCCCATCCTGCAGCTACAAGGGCGAGGGATACCGCGTTTCGCTTTTTGAAGAGTTTGCGCTTTGCAATGAGGGATTTCAATATACGATACGAGCGTGTTGGGCGTGTTGGGCGTGTTTTTGATGAGTGTGATGGGGATAATGCTGATGGTGATGATGTTGATCGAAACATACCCCAAAAGTATGGATCCTTACCGAATCATACCCCTAATTACTGAATCATACCCCTACACCAAATTTCACCTAAATATGGGGTATGATTCCGTAATTTGCTATTGCTTGGGGTATGATTTGAAAAATAATAGCTTCCTGATATGAGGTAATGGTAGCTCCATATAGATTAACTAAGTCATCTAAAATAAATCTATTTTTTTGAGAAGCGGTAGACTTATCGTCGACTTGATTATTGATAACGGTGGTATTTACGCTGCGCGGCGGGTTTCGAGGCGGGGGTTCGGGGCGGGGTTTGCCCCCCGAAGCTTACCCCGCCCCGTTGCGCAGCGGAGTAGGAATTGGGGCCCTACGGGGCCTACGGGACCCGAATAGGGGTGTTTGTAGCGTGAAGTGCGGACACCCCCGGGCTCGAGATTTCGGCCACTCGGCTTTCGTCTGATGTTTTTAAGCTGATAGAATTCTCATCAAATGCGGTCGGAGAAACTCCCTTATTTCTATGATCGAATAAGCCAGATCGCGGATTATCTCCTTCGTAGTTTGAGGCCACTTTGACAACTTACCAAATCATACCCCAAGCAATAGCAAATTACCGAATCATACCCCATATTTGGGTGTGATTTGGTCTAGGGGTATGATTCGGTAATTAGGGGTATGATTCGGTAAGGATTCGTACTTTCGGGGTATGATTCGGTAATTTGCCCCCCCCATGTTGCTTTTGCGAGAATTTTCTGTGCAAAGTTCTTGAATTGGTATGTTGAAGAACGGTGGGAAGATAATGACAGCAGAAGAATGGCGAGTTTGTATGGTTTATAGCCGGTCTGGTCGAGATGAGGTGGAATGGCCATTGGCAATCAGAGTCAAAAGCTCATCAAGTGCGAGACAATGGCGGTTGTTCTATATCTCAGGGGATTTGCTTTACTGTCTCGTTCTGTCTTCACCACTGTCTGAGGTCGCTTTTTTCCAAATACCAACATTTTCCCCATCATTGTCCGAGATTTTCCGGGTCAAATCCGCTTTGCCTTTCTATCGTGGCGCAAATTGATCCTTTTCCGAGCCAGCGAATCTGTGTTAGTCATTGTCTGAGATCTTCATGATTTGATTCGCTTTGTCTTCCCATCACCATATATGTTTACCTATTCAGCGTCAACAATATGCATTAGTCACTATCTGAGGTCCACTTGTAGAGTTTTCTCATCATGACACATTGTTTTCACTCAGCGTCAGCTAATGCGGACTGGTCATTACTGAGTCATACCTGCTTATTTGGGTATTGATGTATCGAGATAGATCTCAGTGTGCGCCGTTCCGTCGTCACAGGGAAGCCCGAGTGCTTCAAGAATGTCTTTGGGGATGGAATCAAGGGCTGGCTCTGGTTTCTTGGTATTGTAGGGATGTCCACGGGCACGGCTAATCATGTTTGGCGCCGAGAGGCATGTAAAGAATAGAAGAATGGCAGTCCCTCAAGTGCAAGTAGTAGATTCAGAAGGGATATTGGCCGACGCCCAGTTCCGAGCTCCTCGCTAGCAGCCGGCAAAACACGCTCTGAATTGTATGAAACCTCTAGTGCGGCCATAATGGCTTCAACGTGTCTGCTCGTGGAAGCACGGAAAGTGATCGCCATTAGGACGTCTGTCCGCGTTAATTTTGCACACAGGGTGCGAATGTTTCGGAATATGCCCAATCTCGCCAGGTCACCGAATCTTGAAAAAGCAGCCACTCATCCCGACATCTTTCTGCAACCGATGCCGGCGCATTTTTAGTGGTTGGGAACATATCCCGGGGCCAATCGAAAAGAAAATTGACTTTCTTTACACCGTGAGTGGAGAGTTTCACGCCTAATCCGTCGACATGGACGTAGTTTGCCTTTGAATTTATCATGTTTTTGGCGTCCTCAAATGCTAGGTTATACGGATGTTGCTCCATAGTTGCAGGAACCAGATGTTGCGGTGCCCAAGTATCATGCCAAAGGACCTCGCGATAATCGCAAGCCCAGCCAAGGAGCTTGACTGCCAAGGCAAACTGCCAGCTTGTAATGAACGAATCGTTGACTGTGCTTACATTCCCTTCTCTGGTGATCCAGATGCTGGAGGGAGAGACCATTTCCTAGAGTGCCCACAAGGCGCTAAACCACGGCTCCAGCGTAAAGGTGCCATTGAGCAAATCCCGTATTTCTGCAGAAGGCCTGTGATTAATATCGAAGTTGTAGTGAACCCTAGAAATATTCACTTCAGGAAGGTTTACCAAAACCGTGTGTCGAGTCTGTGTGGTACCTCCCCAAGTATAAGAGACGGCCATGTACCCCTTTATGAATTGCTCATTACCCGCTAGACCCGAACATTCCTTCTCACAGTCCCATAGCCATTTTGGAAAGGTGGTACTTTCTGGGCCGTCCCATGGGAAAGCGCCGCTGCATAGTTTCTCTCTGGGAGCACGCGCAATCCGGGGGTTTGCTTTGACTAGACATCCCATCGCAAACTTGCATTCTTGAAGTCCCATACTTGAAGCTCTCCAGCAATCGATACAATTTCATCGACATTCGCTCCTGGAGTTAGCCTTCCTTACCCACCGGAATTGATCAAGATCGCTAGCAGATTCTCCACATTGAAGGAAGGTGGTGCTGGTTGGGTTCTGCTCGGCGAGTGAAAGACGGTAGAAAGGTGTGCCATAGGCAAACACAATTGGTTAAGTAGTGGGACCACGTTTATTGTTTGCTTACATGTAGGAAAGATTTACTCGTAATTTCTGCGAATCGCAACGTTACAAATTATTTGTCTCGGAATTAATTTGTTTTTTCTTGAATTCAACCAGCACCGCCACCATCAGACAATCATCTTCCCAGCTCTGTGCTGTGCTGGACGACTTCTGTAGCGATGTCGTCGTATGCTTAGAGCTGCAGCCCAGAGACTGGCGTGCTCAGTCCAATTCACTCAGATGCACGCGACTCTCGGGCGCACCAGGGCGTAAAGCGGCACTCACCCTAGGCCCGATACTTGTAGGGACGGGGCACATCCGTGACAGCTTGGCGAACCAATCATTGACCAATGAATCGATTTACTCTACTTCGTTGACCGTCACTTTATTCTCCCCGCCTTACCAACACCACCACCACCATCCATGAAGATCCTCGAATCCCAATCCGCCGTCCTCTCCAACTACGAAGTCTACGCGCACCTGACGGCGATGCGCGCAACCCCCCGCTCCGCGCCCCAAAAACCCTCGAATGTCGACACCGTGCTCAAAGAAGTACTTCCCTCCCCCCCCCCCCTCCCCCCCACCTCCACAACCCATCGCTGAACATTTTACTCACACACCCCCTCCCTCTCTTCAGCTAACAGACTACCTCTCCCCACCCCCCGCCTCCCGCTCCCGCGTCCCCCGCTACCAGAACCCCCCCTACGGCGCCGCCGCCCTCCGCGCCCTGGTCGCGGGCCTGCGGCCGTACGACCTGACGAAGAGCGAGGTGCTCATGATCGCGAACCTGAGGCCGGAGAGTCTGGGGCTGCTGGATTGCGTGGTGGAGGAGTGCGACGAGCGGTTCACGGCCGAGCGGCAGGATGAGATTGTGAAGATTGTGGGGGATGTGCTGGGGAGGGATGGGGATGGGGATGGGGATGGGGATGGGGTGAATGGGGATGGGATGAATGGAGTTGATGGAGAGGGTGGCCATGAGGATGCGCCTGTGTGAGGGATGGGCGGCGTTCCTCATAGCAGAAGGATTGGAGGGATTGCGAGATGATACCCTGAGACGAGGATTGTGGATCCGGAGGGCTGTTGTGCCGACGGCTGATGTCGATTTGGGGAAGGAATCCAGGTACACTTCTCACATTGGAATTATAGATGATTAGGAGCAAGAGCTAATTCGTTGTAGGAGCGATTCGCCATGACGATATTGGCCCGCTACGGCTGTCGCACATGCCCTCGCAAGTCCTGCTTCAAGAAGATGGCAGTCCCCGCGCATGGCGGGGAGTGGTCTATGCAAAACCCAACAGATCGGCCTATGCGAAGTTAATATTCGCATTAGGGTTTCCAGTCATCTGCCTTCGCTTCTTCGCCCTTGCACATAGCCGGTCTTTGTCTAAGTAGATCTCACTTGACAGCCCTTCGTTTGTAGCCCAAATGCCAACTACGGCTCTACGGGCAGGCGGTTGGCAGTGTATATTAAGTTAGGCAAAGCGTTCGGATTATGGCTTGTACCGGATGAGAGTGAGAGTAACGATTGCCCGACTTCAAGGCACTTTTAACCCAGAATGGGACTGTCTGGCCGAGAAAAGTTTGTAAAGCGTCCGCGTCATCGGTGCGTTTCTACATCTGGAAGCTGCCATTTGGATTTGTTTTGACATAGAGACATTTGAACTCGTTCTCTTCAACTGCTGGCTGTGGGGCAACCCCCTATGTATCATCTCGTCCCTAGTCCCCTTTCAGTCCTTTGTGCTGCTACTCTGATTGTAAACGTATTGCATTTCTCATTCCAGGACACCAAGTTTACGCCTGCATCAACCGCTAGGGAACCACACAAACAGGAACGACTTTGATAGTCGGCAAGACGCACGGTGCAGGCTCAAAACTGACTGCAATGAACAAGTCATTGGTCGCACCAAACCCAGGACAAAGCAGCAAAATCTTCGGTGCTCCGGTGCTGCATGTCAATTGGCCACCGGAGACGGAGCAAACCGCTGGGTCTTCCGTAGCGTGAGCATCAGCAACGTCGGTGAAGTGCAGAAGCTCCATCGACTGTCCGTAATCCATCGCAGCGATAAGCCCGTTTTGATCCATGACCAGGTTCCCCGCTGCGTTGAGGGATAGAATGATGGCTTGGGAGCGGGGAGAGCCATTGAAGCCGATTACAGGACCGTCTCCGTCGTCGAATTGGGCGTAGTTTCCGTCTAGAGCGATGCCGTTCAGGACGATGCCAGAATTTTCCAGTTGGAGGACAAATGTGGGGAATGGGCTTGCGCACTCGGTGATGGTGGTCGTCTTCGAGACCGTGGTGGTAGTGGTTGGAGCCTTGACGGTCGTGATGCTGTGGGTGGCGCCTATGCAGGAACAGGCGCTGGAGTAACGAACTATTCCAGAACACGCTGATGCATCAGCTGGGATGGCAGTTGGGGTGGCCGTCACTTGGCGTGGCAGGATGTCAAGGGCTGGTTCGGGGCCAGCATCGCGTTTATCTTTTAGGGCCACAGAGGCAACAGTCAACGTGCTTGTTACAGTGGCAACAGATGACTTGGTGACAGTGCTAGAGAATTCAGGTCAGCATGCCATTATTGGTCTGAGAGGATTATGTGTACACTGTCGCGGGGATTACGGTGTCTTTGAAGAAAGACGAACAGTCAGCCGCGCCAGATCTGGTGGGAAAAGAGCTGGCAACGACAGCTCGGAGACAGTCGTCCCTGTTACAGACAGAGAGGGTGGTAGTAGCCGCCGCGGTAAGCTGGGCTATGCAAAGAATGGCAACGGAGGAGACATGCATTGTGATGCCTTGAAGAGAGAGGCAAGATACCAGGATACATACACTCGAATGTGAGCGCACTGGTGGACGACAGGTAGGTGATGAGGCCGTTTTATAGGTTCACCAGCGCACATCGATGTTTACGGTCAATGCAGCACCACTTGTAAATCCTGATGCGATAGCTCTCCTGCGACATATCCCGCAAGCTATTATAGCAATCGACATCCAATTGGCCACTGGCAAGTCGATGCATTCAGAATGAGGAAGGTGTGTGCGAATAAGCCCTCATATGTTCGCTTAACAAGTCCCAAAGCGTGATAATGTGAGCCTTTACACTCCTAAAGATCCGGGGTCAGCGGTCTGGATTATCAAATGTGAGCTAATAGCTAAGGAGCACGTGAGACTAATGGGTAAACTAGAGATTCGTCTGTAGACAAACAGAGCCATGATATAAGACGTGCGAACTTGCTTTCGGGATGTCAGACTGTCCACAAGCAAGCATCCGGTAAGGCAGCCTATGGTAGACTAGGGTGTCTTGCCCGTTGTGATGAGTCGAAGCGAGCATTGACGATCTAGTTGCTAGATTGATATATTACTTACTAGTCGCTGCGAGTGTGGCTCCTCGAACACAGTAAAGTATGTTGTAGGGTGAAGTGGGAAGAAGCAAGGAAGAATGCCCAGCCAATAGTGTCATAAAGAGGCGTCGCACTAATACTACTTATGCTTAACCGCGTCTTTTCTTTCAACCTTTGTGCCGTGTCCTCCATCCTGGACGAGTCCATGAACAGTCCGTCCAATTGTCAGACGATCCAGGACTGTTAGTCCTGGGACTGGTCCAGACTAACAGTCCAGAGAGTGGGGGCGGACTATTGGGCGCCTTGACATTGACATGACCGTGGACTATTGCGTGGGCCAAATCAAAGGTGACTCTGACATAGGAGTCATATCTGTGGTCCTGGCAGTTTAATGCAGTGATAACAATATCCTTATGTCCTGGAGCTCTAGGCCTACATCTACTTCTACCTCAAAATGGAGGACCTTGGCCCAGCTAATCGTCATCCCAAATGGATCAGGATGGTCTGAAATGTACTGATCCTGCGAGGCGACGTCCAGCTGGTGCCTGACCTTTCTATCATCGTAGCGTCTTTGATCAATCCTTACCGCGACGATGAGACACCACTTTACCGCAATTAATGGTATGCGCGCTTGCAGACACTAGTCTGAGAGGGCATGCTGTCGCGATCAACCATGTTTGTCCGGCTAAGCACAATTGGAAACTTCGGACTATTATCTTCGTCGTCAACTTGTTGTGGGAATGCTGGAGCTTGCTGGCGGTTGGGAGATTTGATCGCTGGAATTGGGAGACCCCGCATTGTCTGGGACATTGTGCCTGGGGACTACAACGACTGGATCGTCTTTTCACTCGTCTGGTTCCGGTTGGATCGATTGCCCTCTATATGACCGTCCTTAAAATTAGGCCTGCCTTTATGGACCCATTTGAGCAGGCTGTGGTCAAGCTCTCAAAAATGGTAGCTCATAGGTTCTGTGACACCTTCAAGACCTCGACGTACGGTTCCTTGCGGGGTCTCGTGAAATGCTTGATGCAAATCTCGCTCAATCTAATTCTGGCAGTCGTGTGCACCGCGTTCTGGAAATTTGTCCTACTCATACCTGCCTCTCGATACCTTGGCCCGTTCCAGTCGCTGCTGTCTCTCACCTGGAATGCCTGCGATGTAGGCACAGCAGGAGCATCGATCGCACAGGATTTTTGTGGCAAACCTTGAATATTGATGCGGCAAAAATGTTTCAAAACAGCGACAACCCAAAGAATGACTGGGGTTTCGTCCAAATCCTCACTTTTGTGATGCTGCTTTTGCCAATCCTATCGGCCTTGAATATGATCACGGCTGATGCACTGTTATTGTTTCTCCGCAGATCAAGGCTCGGTACCAGATGCACACGGTCTGGATGACGACACAAAGCCTGCAACGCCAATTCTACATCCACTGATTTAGTTACTGGTCGCCAGACTGGAGGAGCTCTTGTTCGTCAGAGGATGCGTGAGTTGTAAACTCGGTAGTAAACGTAGTTCTTCACTGGGAGGTTGAACCCACAGCCCACACACATTCACGGGGGATCGACCTATCCCACGACTTGATCGCTTGTTTTTTTTTCCCGTTGTGTCATACACACACTCGAGAGGTTCGAATTGATCAGAAGAGCACATTTCCTATGATGACAAGGCTGGCAGAAGTCTTCAATCGACAGGCGGTTCCTCTTCGATGCTGTTGTTCTCTATCCATTGCGGGGCCGACATCTTCTCGCTTACTACACACTCGGGCTACCGTCTATGCATCTCCCACATACTAACTGTAACTTTCCACAGTCTCCTCGAACCAGCTTCGAGACAACCTATTGAACATATCTCGGTCACTGAGGGAAATCTCGCGCCCTGCTATTGTCAAAAGTGTAACAGTAGCAGATTGCAATCGGCTCTGTTCGACTCTGGTGCTTCCGTAGCTCCTTGCTTTACAAAAATATGTCAATGGTCCCGATGTGTAAAGTCTAGAGTCAGGTTGTTGCAAAGATAGAGATCTTGGACGTATTGTCTCCATGCTCTGTTGTATCTTTAGCGAATCTTTGAGTCAACTGCACCTCAACTTAGGATTAGGCAGTTGATAGAGAGATGTACGAAGGGGGGTTCCAGAACCGCATTGAGACTGTATCGATTAGGCAAGCTCTGTCGATCAAAACGTATCTGCCGGAGCAACAACTTGCTGACTTCTCCGGTGTTGAACTCTAGAGTGCGATTGGATCGCAGCATTCTACACAACACGTGTTAATGCTGTAGCAGCACTAGAAGCCACATTCACTTCCACTTACGTCTCACCAACATCAACATCAATAATTCCTCGATGGTCTGCGTGGGCCGTCAGCGTGGAGACGATACTTGAACAACGCAATTACCAATACTGACGCCAGTTGAAAGCCATCTTCCCCTCTGACCATTGTGAATACACAAAGCATTAATCATCATAACAGCCTACCAGACGCATACCAGCTGCTGAATTGCGCTCCAAGTGGTCCTGTAGTGTCCAAAACAACCTTCAGCTCACAACCGCCATCGGCCGTCAACGTCAGGATCAGGATCAACGTGTGCTGAGACCAGAGGAAAAAGCTTTTGGAATATCTTCAAGCTTAACCTTCGGTGCCCTTTATACTACCTCTTATTAGGGGTGGATTTCTCGCTGTTAAGCACTATGGACGTACACTCGACGGCTCCGGCGCCTCATTGCGATGCTTGCGCAATCCACGTCCGAACGGCAACAAGTCGATGGCTGAACAGTGTCCAGGTAGCGGTCAGAGATCCGTCACCGGCTTCTTTCAATCACTGGTTCCTGTGGATTTCCTTGGAGAGAAAGATGGCTCCCACTTACCACCGAAAGAGTTATCAGCAGATGGTGAGCTCTTCGAGATGGCAAGTGGCAATCAAAAAGAATCAAACGAATCTACAAGTCGAGCGTAAATTGCTCATCCTTGTCTACTAGCATCAATTATGGAATTATCAGTCATCCCATAATCGAATAAAAACGCACACCACGGTCAAGGACCCAGCATTGTATGTGTATATGTTATTGGGCCGTCTCAAGGCCTGGACTAGCAGGCCAAAACAGGCATATTTCGTACCCCGGGGTCGAAAAAATTCCCAACCCCCAGGAGACGTCTTCATAGATAATGTTTCTGGCGAGATCCGCCAGCAGCAGCGCTCGAGTCACGGGATATATCAATACCGACAGGATGCGTGAGGCCGTGTCCCTTGCAGACTATCCCATTATGTTCGAGATGCTACCAGTGATGAGAATCGCTATTGGGGCCAAACTTCCTTTAACATTGAGTGCCGTGCTCCATGTGCCTCGGAGTCTATCCCATTTGCTTTGGACCTTTAGCCCTCCAGCGAGAACAAGACGTGAGGACATGCGTTAGCCGCCTGCTTTTGCTGACAGGTAAAGCGGGTATGACTATATTCGCAGCTCACGAGCGTACAGCGACCGCCTTCCAGTAGCGACATACATCAGAGGTCCCCAAAGTGGCATTGCTTTCGGGTAGGTTGTGGGTAATTGATTCGTATTCACGGATGAGATCTGTCTAGAGGGTGGGCAAGATTTGATGACAAGTATTCGCATAAATTGTGGATACGCTCAATTAGTCAGCAGTGGCCTTAGCGCCCCCGCGGTTTACCTTAGTCCTGCCTTCCCCTCTTGAATTATACCCATTTGTCAGCAATGTATTAGTTTCCATTCGCGCTCAGATCTACACATGTTGAATACCGGTCTCGGGCTCGCTATTCATAGCTCTGCAGCCCGGGACTGTTCCAGCCAACATTGACCTGAAGCAATTGATCCACTTCACAGCTTCTAGGATTCGCGTGAGGAAATGTTGTTGGAGCAGTGGAGGCTGCAAGATGTATTGTGAACACTTAAGTTTCTCAATCAGAGGCTCAGGGAGCCAGATGCACCTGGAGAATCGAGGAGAATGAAGATCTCTGGAGATGAGCCTTCAAAAGGTGTATCGCGTAGTTTGTCCTGTATTTGGTGTCCCAGTTGCATTCTGGAAATTCGCATTGCACTAAAGGCCAGACTGCACGTGGATGGCCCAAATGCTTGACTTTGTAATGTCCCATATAACTTCTCATTGATGTGTACACCTTACCACACCTCAGGAATTGGCATTGCACTTGGAATTCTTTTGTAACATCCTTTGGTTGACCTAGATGCGTTGTTCGGTAATGCCTCGTGAGTTCCTCTCTTGACGGTAGTACCTTGTCGTATCTTCAAACGCCGCACTGTACTGGAGGTTGACTTGGAGTTTTCGTTGATTGAGCTGAGTGCTCGGCTATATAATGCCTTTGTGTAGTTCCAACTGGTTTTATACTCTTTCTCACATCCTGGAAATCGCACACAAAACTTTGATCTCCATGCACGTTTTTGTAGTGCCTTGTAAACTTCTGCTTAGATGAGAATACCTGTTCACACCCTGGCGAGTCGCACTGGATTCGCGTTGAATGCTTGCTCCGATAATGGGCCATATAGCCTGCTTTCGCTATGAATACCTGATCGCATACTGGAAAGTCGCATTTCTTTGGTCGTAGACGCGTAGTCATTTGATCTAAATGCCTTTGTCTATAATATCTTGTCGCCTGACTCTTGTATTGGAAGCGCTTATCACATTCCTGTTCCTCACACCGGAAAGGGGGCAGCTGAACAGGATGTTTCCGCTGGTAGTGTCCCTTCAAGGTTGCAAGCATCAGTTTCGCGCCGCAATTGGGATAGTCGCACACGATCCGAACACCTTGACCTGCGTGTTCGATCTAATAGCGGTTGTGCAAGTTATGTGGCAAAAGTCTCTTATCACACCCTGGATAGTCGCATTGCTGTCGCTGTTTGCTCGGAGGCAATCGACCCAAATGTTTCCCCTAACTATGAGTCGCCGCTATCTTCTTCGTGGAGCAGCTCTGGCCACGATTTGGATCCCGGCATGGCGTTCGACGGCGGCAGTCCCGTTGATCTTGGCTTGTCCGTTTCCTCGACCCATTATTGCTCGAGGCCTCAGGAAGGCCCTGCCTCGTGTGACAGCTCCTAGGCCTACCCAATGAGTTCGATTGGAAGGTGTTGTCAATACTGCAGCAGGACAATCGTTCTTTGACACTGTGCGTTGTCCGCAACGGAAGAGGTTGAGCTCGCAGGAGAATGTGGATGAGCAAACTGATTTGTGTTGAAGAAAACTATTTGTAGGACCTTTGTGTAACCCGCTAAATGGCTCTCTGATCTAGCAAGCGTGTCATGAGATGCTAGATTATCTGATATTAGAGTTTTTAGGGTAGTACGTATGACATAGAGTGAAGGACGTGTAAGTAATGATGAGACCTATGAAAATTACAAAGTGATCCTATTGTAAAGGGCCGTATTAACATAATAGAAGAGGAATGAAGCGTTAGTTGGTATTCCCGTCGGAAATTGGACACAATAGGGAGGTTTAGTAGCGTTTTATACAAGAATTTCACACAACACTACTAGCCCCATAGATCGACATCAAAACAAGCAGTCTATGTACCTTGAGTTGATGGGAAAGGCTACGCTTGGTCAGTTTTCTGGAACCAGATCAGACTCCTCTCAGCGCACGCAACATTCTCACCTGAACAAGCATCGCTCGTTACTGTGGTTGGGGTATTTAGTTCGTATTAGGTTCGATTCCTAATGGCGCTGGTACAATGGTGTTGCGGTGCTTTTTATTTCTGGCAGCGCCATTAGCCACAGGTTTTAAAGTTCCGTCGAGCGGTATTGGCGAGGGCTTAGGTTCGAAACCCGTGCGACGCATTGATTTGTGAAGCGAAATGTTCCCCGTTAGTATAGTCCGGGGGCGGACACCTGTTGGTTGTGGTCGTGTGGTTGGGTTTTGTTCGTATTAGGTTCGATTCCTAATGGCCTGGTACAATGGTTTGCTCTTTTATTTCCGTTACCTCAAAATCCTCCCTCCCGAAAACTTCAGGTGCTCGTTCATGTCGTCAAGCCGCCCACATTTCTTTTCTATGCCGTTCTCCAATGAACAATCTCGTACATTCGAGTGAGCTACCTCGCTTAGTGTGGCGGGAGAACCCCTAAGGCTTTGGCTGGTGCCAACCTAAATATTGCGTCGTAGCTCACTTCTCGAATGTACGAGTATGAAGCCGGAAAATCGAGGAGCTTTTTGAGAAAGCCGGATCTGGCGCCGCATCGTCTGCGTTCATGGTCATCAGGATCTCATACATGATCAACAGTAGCCCCGTCCGGAGCCAGCTCAAGAATTTGCCAGTCGTAATGCACTTTTCGAGCTTCTGATAATATTGCAATAATTGCAGTAGCTATCGTCTCGAAATTTGATGTTGCAAGAGCAAGAATGCTTGGGCCTGCACCGCTTAAGCAAACTCCATTCGAGTAGTATAAAGTCTTAATACAATCTCATAATCAGAAGATTCATAAATGTGGAAAACGGGGAAAATATCTAAATTAAAGTATGATATTTAAGGTAACATGTGCTACTTGTAATGGCGCGGGCTAGCCAGTAATTAGTGAAAAGCTTACCCAGTGCGAGAAAGACCATCACAATTATTCATATAAAACTCTTTACATCAATACATTGTTTTATTGCTTACTGGATTTGCTAGTATGATATTTGATGGATTATTAGGGGGAGACCCTCTGAAACCCCCCTAACCCTCCGGGGGCCCTTCGGGAGCTCTCAGAGGGTTCCTGCCGGAGGGGCTGTCCTCGCAGGCTCGAAGCGCACTACATCAGCAAATCTGAAAGGTTCCTGCTGGAATTGAATTTGCTGAAGTTGTTGGATGATACGGTTGACGTTAGCACGTTATATATACCTTAGTAACCATGTCAGGTAGACACTAAAAAATTGCTGACATTCCCCCCCCCAACACCACCCTCTTTCGACACACTGCATGGCCTCCACCCCACCAATCATCGCCCGTAGCGGCAACGCCCGCCCAAATGCCCCATCTCCGCCGGCGCAAGCTCCGCTGACACTCGACCTCCTCACCCACGTCCTCTCCCGCACCCTCTTCCACCCCTTCCTCGCCGCCCTCCTACCGCTCTGTCTCCGCGCTCTGGCCGCACCCTACACTTCCACCTCTTTCATCCTCACCTCTGCGTTCGCAATAGGCGTCTGCCTGTACAGGGTCTTACAAGGTGTGAACACCCGGCTTGCGTATGGCGCGCCGAGAAAGATCAGTTGGGCGGACGAAGTCGTCGTGATCACCGGCGGCGTTGGCGGTCTGGGAGGGTGTTTGGCTGAGATCTTCGCGTTGCGAGGCGTCGGGGTCGCGGTGTTGGACGTTGAGGTCGCGCCACGGTGGGCTCAGGCTGAAGGTCTGGCGAAAGGGCCGGCAGATGGGGAGGAGGAGGAAGGGGTGCGGTATTATTACTGTGACGTGGGGGACTATGAGCAAGTGGAGAGGATGTGGGTGAGGATTGTGAAGGATGTGGGTACGCCGACGGTGCTGATTAACAACGCGGCTGTGGTCAATGCGAAAGGTTTGATGGAGCAGAGTGGGGAAGAGGTGGAGAGGACGTTTCGGATCAATACGCTGAGTCATTATCATTTGAACAAGCTCTTTCTACGGCCAGTGTTGGAGAAACTATCACACGGAGGGACAATTGTGACGGTTTCCTCTGTGCTGGGCCACCTAGGTGCTGCACATCTCTCGGCGTATACCGCCTCCAAAGCCGCTCTGCTTGCCTACCACGCTTCTCTGACCTCCGAATTGGCGTCAGAAGCGCCACAGGTGAAGACGATATTGGTAGCACCTGGACAGCTGGACACCCAAATGTTCGGCAATATTAAGCTCCGAGGCTGGTCAAGGAATTTCTTTGGCCCCGTTGCTGGGGCCGGAGAGGTTGCGATCAAGATCGTGGAAATGATTGACCGAGGTGAAGGGGGCGTGGTGAGTGAGCCAGCGTATGCGAGGTGGATCGCCTGGCTAGGTGTGTTGCCCGTGGGGTTGCAGAGGATGGCAAAGAGCTGGGCAGGGACTGATGATGCGTTTGCCGGGGATGTTCGGAAGAGCTCGAAAGACGCTGGATAGTAACAATTCCTTTCGTGCTGTCTGTCTTCCAGAAATCCACCTGATAGCAGATACAAGAAGCATTGTTTTCCGCCATCATAATCCCTCTTTCCACTCAGACCTTCTGCTTCGCCATCCACTCCTCTGCGTCATCCTTGTATCCCTCTCGCCACCGACTCAGTGGCGGCCGCTCATTAACAATATCCCCAACACTCCACAGCATCCTTTTCCTATCCTTCTCAACCGTTACATCATTGTCCGGACAAATCACATAGAACACCTCCTCCGCCATTTTCTGCTGCAAGTAATCTGCAACTTGCTCGGGAGCCCATGCTCCCTCCGGCTTCTCCTTCGTCTTACCCCCTCCAGTCAGTCCTGTAAATGTCCACCCTGGAACGAGCAAGTGCACGGAAGTGGGCGTAGCGCGCAAGTCGTATGAAAGATGTTCGGCAAGGCTTTTGATAGCAGCTTTGGAAGCGTTGTAAGCGGGATTGCCAGGCGGATTCGTGATGCCTTGTTTCGAGCCGGTGATGACGATGGAGCTGGGCTGGCTTTGTGTGCGGAGGGAGGGGAGGAAGGTGGAAATGCCGTTGATGACGCCGAAGAGGTTTGTATCCATTATCTGTGATCCAGCAGATCAGTACACTAGTGGAAGCCGTAATTGCAGACTTGGGTTACCTTATGGAAGTATTCCGTGTCCTCCCATCCGCTCTTGAGCCCAATACCAGCATTCAGCATGACGAAGCTGACCTGTCCGAAATTCATTTCTACTTTCACTCGTAAGTCTCTCCATTCATCAATTTTACTGACGTCCATAGCGTATATCTGCGTGTCAATGCCATTGTTGAAATGTAAGCGTGCTTCAGAGAGAGCTTCAGCGTTTCGATCGACGAGGGCGACCTTCATTCCATGTTTATTGCAGAGCTTAGCGACAGCGAGACCTATGCCTGAAGCTGCTCCGGTTATTAAGGCTGAATTGCCTGCTTTGAAAACTGGATGTAAAGGCATGTTTGAATAGTGGGACAGGTTTAGAGAGTTTGGATTGGTGGGGACAGGGGGGTCGATCGTATCAGATTTTTGAGGGACGGTCCGCCGTTGAACTTCGTCATCACATTTACAACAAGAATAAACGCTCTCATCACTCCTTTCCAAGAACGCTCATTGTAGAGTATAACATTCATTGTTGCGTTTTGACATGGGCTCGGTGCAGTGATTTGCAGTTTCTGTAATAGTTGATGAGCAAAGCTAATCTCTATCCATACGCCGTCTCCAATTTCTAGACCAATGCTATGAAGGTTTGACATACAAACCAAGCATCGGCCCTTTGGCTTCCTCTCTCTCATAATCGAATGTTCTGTTAACGTGTTAGGCCAAGATGACGTCAATGCATAGGCTCATGCCTTAAGGTTGTGCGCAAACGCTCAATCCATATCCATATCTCCCACTTCCCCTGCCATGGCTGAAGATCCCGTACCGTTGTCACTCTCGCGGCCTGTATCCGGAGTTCTGGCAGCAAAGAGGGGCTGCGCCCACGAGAACCGTACTGGCGAAGATTGGAGATTCGCCAGTGTATCCTCCCATGTTCTTGCTACTAGTCTCCCTTCCGTCAAGTCTTCTGCAAACAAGAAGTATCCCTGGTTCGATGAGACCAGATATGCTTCCAAACTCTTGCTCTCAAACAATAACTCCGAGTGCGTAAGAGAGTAGTGGTTATCAATGTACCGGCTGAATCCCCGTGCCATTGCAACAAATTCGGAGTATACGCCTACATATGTCCATCCGATTCCTAGCTCGCTGGACCGATAGGTACTTGGGCCTCCTACCGTGACTTTTGGTGACTCCGTTGGGTTTGCGGCCATGGCGACATCAGCATTGGAGGAGCTATCCCGGCGTTGGACCTTTCGTTTAGGTAATTCGCCATCTGAAACCGTTAATTGCGCGGCTGTCTCCTCCACACCCGGTTGCAGTTTCATTTCTAGCTGATCTTCAAACCATGTTCCGGTCTGGGTTTCTGCCGTTGCAGCGGTACCTGTGAGGGGATTGATGCGGGCCATTCCCTCACCATAGATAGCTGTTGGACTGATCCCGGGTGTTCTTGACGAAGGCAGAGCTCCTCCCATTGACTCGTCTTGAGGGGAGATTTCTTCGTGTGTGCGCTTCCTGGAGGTGGCGGAGGGATTGATGGTGATTGGTGCGGTGGCTGGGATTGGAATAGGGTTGGGTGTTGGATCCGTCGACATGATTGGTACGAATGATTGATACCGGAAAGGATTTTTCAGAGATCTTGAATGGGCGGCCTGTGAGGCTGAAAAGAATGGGTGATGGTGCGGTGGTAAAAGTATGGTTGACGAGTCTGCGAAATC